TCCATGAAATAAAAAAAAAAAAATGAAAAAAAAGAAAGAAATGAAAAAGAAAAGAAATCGTACTTGTGCAATACAGTAAATGGAAGCATTGATCAAGCTTGAAATGGTCAGGGGGAAAATACAAGATAGAAGAGAACCCTTTCCAGCCCTGTGGGCCTGTTGTTCAAAGTTAATCTATGATTTCGATCTGGGCCTCATGCTTTTCCTTTAAACCCGGTTGAGATCGTGCCGAAATAAAAGCGAAAATTAGAAAGAAACCCCTCCCCCTTTTATCTTACGACCTTTTTAACCTTGGAATAATTGAAAAGGAGAGAATAAGAAAAAATCAAAAAAAATAAAATAAAATAAAATAAATACATTCTACCAAAACGGAAATAGTTAACTATAAACGACAAAAATAGAAAAACAAATTCGACATAAAGAGGAAGGGGAAGGAGGGAGGAATATAACGGTCAAGAATATCTATTCGGTTCTTAGAACCTTTGGCCCCCTATTTTTAAGTGCTTTCTTCTTTTTGTGCCCCTTGTCGAAGGCGACGGCACGGTTGTGATCTCGTCCAACGTTATCAAGATCTTTAACCTTATAGATTCTGATAATCCAGTTCTTACTGGTGAATGCTTCCTCGAGTGTAGTTAGTTGGGGACCTTCCGTGGGGAGGCGCACGCCGCGGACGCGATCGACTGCTTGGCCACCTGGGAAAAGAGTGCTGAAGTTGTAATATGACATTTTGTACCTAAATATTCCGGTTAGTGAGTGGGTGTTTAAACCGAGTATATGCAGCAGTTGATTATCGAAGCAAGGAGGGGTAGGAATACTTACATAAGACTGTTTTGCATGGTTGGCGTGGCTTCACCGTCTACACGGTATTCGCCCCGGGCAGTGAAGAAGTCACGTTCCTTGACTTCATCAGGCCAGATTCCTTCAGCAATCCGGATCATCCACAGGAACTTGTTGAGATCGTCTCCAGAGTATCCCAGTAATCCGCCAAAAACGACCAAGACATAGTCAACGTCGTGTTGTCGAAGGATGGGATAACTGACTTCCTCACGCGAACTCATTGCTTTGCCGACGGTTGCAATATGGGTATTATTCCAGGTGTTGTTGTCGACGAGAGTTGGGCGATCAGCCATGCCACCAATTTGATAACCGTAATCCCACCACGCCATAACCTTGGCATTTTCTGGGGTGTTTTCGCGTAGCCAGTAGTAGGCTTCGCGGTAGTCATCAATGATGTGTAGGCTTCCGTCTGGCATTTTGCTTGCTAGGACAACTGACGGAGAGGAGTATGCATTTGACGTTACCCAGGTGCATTGTCCCACAAATAAGAGCAGATATACAACGATGGAGCCGGATATAACTAATTTCGAAAGCTTTGAGTAGATCCTGACAACCTCTTTCTGTGCAGATCGAAGACCAGCTTGAGATGATTTGTTGTCCTTTGGTTTTGAAGGAGAGATGAGAAGATAGGTATCGAGAATGTAGGACAAAACTTTTGCAGATGCAACGCAGACAATGGGAGTTAGAGTAAGCATCAATCGCACCATTACTCCGGCGAAATAGCTCGCGAGAACAGAATAGATAATAACAAAGACGTGCTCGTCTTTTAGTTGGACGAAGCACATGTAAACACCAGCTGGGAAGAGCCAAATTAGCATACTAAGGTCGAAGAAGAACGCGGGCCAAGCTGTTGGCTGATGCTCGGAAACGGACGCAATGATTGGAATGTGAATTTTAGCATAACCAGTGTCCCAAAGCGAGTAGAACCGGCCACTCCAAGGAGCAATAACTCCCGAAACGGTGAGAACAACAAGACCCACGAAAGCGACGCTAAAGATAAGCAATACCAAACCCGTTAGAAAAGTTTGGAAATGTTTCCCTGGTACCTGGGAACGAATGAACTCGACAAAAGCAACGACTTGGATAAGACCAAAGATTCCTAGACGAGGTTAGTTCCCAGTGAAGTATTTTTCAACAAGTTGACGGAACACACACCTAATGCTGACATATGATCACTACTTCGAATAGGAAGGAACCCAACAAATGGAATTTGCATGCTGGCTAATGTTCCCAACGCATACCAGGTGGTGTAGCTGATATAAAGGCGGGAACTGTAACGGCCCATGCATATAAGAACAAAAATGTGCAGGGGAATCAAATTGGTGATGAACACATATCCACCCCAGGCTGAAACCATGTAACCGTAAAACAACGCGGTCAGCGCACCCCACAAAATCGATCCGTTCTTCACGGCCTTGATCCAGAGGAAGAAGGTGAAAACGAGAAGGAAGATAGCAATAGCTTCGTTATCGTAGCTCCCAGCGACGGACCTGGATATATAGCCTGGGACAATTCCCATGAAAGCAGCGGCAAGGAGCCCAGCGGATGGTGACGGAGACATTTCACAAGTAAGGAGATACATCGCCACGGCAGTCAAGGCAGAGAATGCAGGGGCAAGAAGCACACAGATGTTTCGGATGTCGACTGGTATGGAAAGGAACCGGAGGATATGGTAGATGACGCCGCTGGTTACCATCAGGCCTGGGTATAAAGTGCCACCAGTGACACGCCCCAGAGGGTGCCATGTTCCTAAGTACAAGAACATATACAGTTTTAGATTTCTATCATTTCTAACGTATTGGTAGCTCTCAGATATAAGCTCCTGATTGGAGAAGTGTCTTACGATCGTCGAACCAGTCCCAAAAGCTGTAGAAGCCATGCTCTACAAGATATTTAGTTGCTCTGAAATTGAACCACGGGTCAACTACAGATCAGACGTTTTGTCAGCATATGGGGTAGTTTTAATAAAGTTGATTGGAGATCGCAATCGGGGAGAGAGAGTCGGAGTAGGGAGCTGGGGCAGAGATTAGGGTAAGCGGAAGACCGTACATACACTCGTGTATTATAGACTCGAATCCTGCATTTCACATTCATTAGTACCATTGGATATTTAATTCCAAGCCTATATAACAATAACAAGTGGAAAGATTAATATCCTACTTATTACGCTGAAGAGTCGACTGGCGATGGCGGCGCCGGCTATTAGCACAAGAATGATGACTCGGAGCAGACCTCGAGTGGTTTTTGAGGTGGAACCTTCCAGGAAGCGTTCAATAGTAGGGGTGGCCATACTGGCCTAAATCGTAAGGAGACACAATATGTATGGAGAACGGGTACAATGTGTCGTCTTCACTGTAGCAGCAAGTAGTTGTTGTTGTCGTCGTCGTCGCCGTCGAGTCCTCACAGTCTTTTTGGAAGCTCCGCAAGGTGGTCTCTCGGGGCTTGGCGTCATGTTTCGGCTGAGGCTCTGCGGGATCCTTAAGCAGACAGGTTGCTCCGCCATTTTTATATAAACAACCTTAACTTATATCAATCCCATCGTCATCCTATGTTTCTGATAGTTCCTCTACATTCGCTACACTCTGCTGGCCTTTTTTTTTTTTTCTTTTCTTTTTTGAGTGTGTGTTTCAGCGTCCGATTTCCCGCTGTGGATTTAGAGTGCTTAATTTGCAAGCGTTTCTATTCTCTTACTCAACACCTGCCTCTCAAGCTCCGTCGCCGACCTTCAGGATGTTCTCCATGGCAGATATGGACTTGATGCTCCTAACAGCTCCCTCAGCAGCTGTCCTTTTGGATAAGCTTATGGAGCTTGAAGGTGAAGTCAGTCTAGCGTGTAGCATTACTCATACGGCTAGCGACGCGGAGCCTCTCCGCATTTACTACTCTTCATACATTTTCGCCCTTCTCCTGGAGGATCAAATGTTCGCTATTCACCCAAAACAAGTCCGCCTTTCTCCCTCGCTCTTGACTAACTGTTCATCTGTAGATATGAAACACACATGCTGCTGAGGAGGCTACCTGAGACTCTTGTCAAAGTGGATCCTATACTGCAGAGCGTCATATCACTTGTGCGAGCAGTTTGGAATAAGAACTACGATAAAATATACTCCCTTCTACGACAGACCCCATGGCCAGAACCCATGAATAAATCCTTAGTTCAGCAGTATCACCGTACGTATATGGAGGATATCAGCTATTCCACTTTTCCAAATTAACAATTCCACGCAGGCTACTTCCACAATAAAACGTTCGATGAGATTAGTTTTGCCTTCGGATCGATCCGGCCATCAACTGCTGCGCACTATCTCGGCCTCGACTCCTTAGGAGACGATACAATGAGTGATTCCCCTGATGGCGCATGCCCCAAACTGGTTGACAGACTTACAGGGAAAGGTTGGGAATGGAACCCGGAATCGAAGCTATTCATTCCGAAGGTGATAACTGAGATACCGAAAGAGACTATTTCAAACGATACTATGATAAGCCGATTGTCGGCACAACAGAGGAGCCATGGTGACTAAAATTAGATCCTGTTGGCAAAAGGCTCATACAACCGCAACGAGAAACGAAATATGAATATACGACTCACTGTTACGCCGGGTGGATTTATCTGCAACTCCACATCGCAAAATGTTGAGACACAATTTAATGAAAACAATTTTCCGTAGGCCAAACGGACATGATGCCGAGATGAATGGTTCCCCGAGTGTCGCTATAACTTCCCAATCATCCATCCAAATGATAGTTTCCCAAAGTTGCGATCGCAAAGCCTCGTACACGAACGCACGCTTTTCGCCAGGAAGTTAAATGGAACAGAGGAAGTTGAGAAATGTAGATTCTCGAAACTAGCCAGAATCTTAAAGATTGCCCTCTAGGATATATGTACACGATAAAAAATGGAACCGATGGTGACTTCTTTTATAACTTTTTCTGTACGCAAGGAAAATGGAACTTGGTTGCACGATAAATAAATAGTACAAAATGGATATTCTCCAACACTGCACTCGGATATGCATAGCGTCCTCATTCGGGTGCAAGTGACCTTTCGCGAGCAGTTTGAGGCTCTTTTTTTTTTTTGCGCCATCGAGCCCTGCTGAATTAGTATTTCCACCAATCTCTTTGAATTGCCCACACCGATCCTCCCTCACAGCCGCTTAAATCGATTATTTTGCCATTTCGGCAGCTTTCATGTTTATAAAAGCTTCGAGGTCGAATCTCTTATCTTCCGGATCGGTTATGACTGAAATAAGGAATTGTGACAATCCATCAGCATTCTTCCACGGAATTATAGGCACTACAGAAATAAAACGATCATTCCCGACATCCATAACATTCCGTATCGATCGCGTTAAACATACCTCTTTGGCTCGTAGATTTAATTCCTGGAGGTGCGTTCTTCTTCGCGTACTCTGCCTTAGCTTGCTCGATCAATAACTGCTTGCGGCTATATTCTCGATCTATCTGGGCCTGCTTGGCCTGCGATTTAACGGTTGACTGGTGGTAGAAACCGTAGAGAACGCCGGCAAAAAGGGCAGAGTAGCGTAGTACCTGAAGAAAAATAAAACAGAAAATATTTCATTGTCAGTACTCAGCTGTATATTGGCCTTATCGTATGATTCATCAGATCGAGGAATGAGGAAGTTTTCGGGGAAACTGGACGCTCACGTTGACACCTTGCGAAGTAGCCATGACGGTGTGATATGAAGCCCAACAATAAAGGGGTGTTTAATTAGGAGATGAATGAGAAAGGTAAGTACTGTGACCACTAGAGCGTCAACCTCTGAAGTGTGCAGGAAAGTTGTGGGCGGTCAATGGCTTCCAGCAAGGGCTGTTGATAGCGATTCAAAACCGTTGATTGATAGATATTAGAAGCCGGCGTTGGTGGAGTGAAGAAGTTCGGGATTTTTTTACCAGTCCGAGATGGCTTACGTAACTAAGGAACAGACCACTCATCCAACTCGCGATATCGAACACGAAGTAAATAAAGTAAATATATATATTCACAACAGCGCGAAGAACTTATGAGTATTAAACCTGGTCCATAACGGTATCAGAAGCACAGTTACATTGCAATGCAGCAACGGAAAGATGAGATTCTGGCCAAGAAGGCTAAGCTTGCAGAGCTCAAGCGTCAGCGGGAATTGCGACAAAAGGAGTTCTCGCAGAACAGACAGAGCATTGAAGGATCGGAGGTGACCTCGCTCCTTGAACGTTTTACCTCTTAATATTTTCTCTATACTGACATCAAGAACATATCATAGGTTCTAGCTCCCACTCCCAGCCGCTCAGATAGCAGAGCAGAGCTCGATAGTTTTATTTCACGGCTGGTCGATCGACCTTCATCAGCAGCTTTCAAGGACGGGATAGAATCGCCCAGGGGTCGAGAAAGTCGTCCCAATTCAGTCCTCAGTGCAAGCCAACTTAGTGGTGAGAATATCGAATCTGCAACGCCTCCATCGAGGCCCGTGCTTCTATCAATTGCAACTCAAACCACTCCATTCCCTTTCGATCTGTCCACACCCGAACCCGTCCCTACCCCTAAACCCGAGATCGTCACATACAGCAAAGGTGTACAAACAGATTCATGGACAGAGCCAAGAAGCCAGTCAACAGATAGCCAATCTGATGTAGAAGGTGCTGGTTCTCCAACAACTTCCCGTGCAAGTAAGCGGTTGAGCCGGAGACAACAACGTGAGCGTGACGAGGAGATACGGGAGAGGCTACGGAAGGAGATTGAAGAAGAGATACAATCCACGAGAAAGGCGGCTGAGGATAATGTTGCACAACAATCAGCAGGAATGAGATATCCCTTGCGGACCCTTACAAATGACGAGCTTAATGCTGTTACCTCGTCGAACGATTTCTTAGATTTCGTGGAGAAGTCCAGCAAAGTCATCGAAAGAGCATTGGATGAGGAATATGACGTCCTTACAGATTATGCGTTGGGTGGGGTGGGTGCAACCGATGGTGGTGAGAATGAGTATGGTGGTAGTAAACGGAGAGGAATTGAGGAGTTGGTTCAATTCTACGATGAGCGATGGAGCAAGAAACGAGCGATAAGTGATATCAACTTTTCTCCAAAGGTGAGTCTACCTCATATGACATCTAAGCTGTCTAGATTGACTAGAACTGAAAATAACTTCACCTATAGTTCCCAGAATTGGTCCTGGCTTCCTACACGAATAACGTCACCGCTCCGCACGATCCCAATGGTATAGTCCAAGTGTGGAATCTCCATCTCCATTCGAGACCAGAATACGTCTTCCATTCCATGTCAGACATCCTAACTGCGAAATTTTCTCCCTTCCACCCAAACCTCATTGTAGGCGGCTCCTACTCCGGTCAAGTCCTATTATGGGACACCAGATCATCTCGCGCAGGAGGCGGCGCCCCCGTCCAAAAAACCCCACTAACAGGATCTGGCCACACCCACCCGGTCTACAACATCTCCATCGTCGGCACACAAAACGCCCACAACATCATCACCGCTTCGACAGACGGGGTCGTTTGTGCCTGGACCGTCGACATGCTCTCCCAACCCCAAGAATACCTCGAACTCACCACCCCGCCTCCGTCTAAAACAGAAGACCTCGCCCCAACCACCATGACATTTCCCCAATCAGACCCAACCTTCTTCCTCGTCGGCACAGAAGAGGGCGCCATTTACCCCTGCCACCGCTATGACCGTGCAGGCGCCAAAGCAGGAACGGACCACCGTCTCTCATACCGCGGGCATGCCGCCCCGGTCATGTCCACAGCCTTTCACCCAGCATGCGGAGCAGTTGACCTAGGCGATCTAATGCTCAGCTCTAGTCTGGACTGGAGCGTGAAACTCTGGCGCGTACGCCCACCCGCTGTAACCAATACGTCAGGGACGTCAGCCACAACCCCGGCCCAAGTGGTCTCGCCCGTCCTGGACCTGAATCGTGAAGATGTCGTTTACGACGCAAGATGGTCCCCGCATCGACCTGGCGTCTTTGCCGTGGTTGATGGCGCTGGCTTCGTTGAGGTGTGGGACCTGTGCACAGATACGGAGGTGTATGCGGCACGCGAGGCGCCGACGAAGGCACGCAATGCAGTAATTGAGCAAAGTTTGAATAAAGTTGCATGGGAGGAGAGGGATGGCCGCCGCCTGGCGACGGGCGGGCTTGATGGGGTTTTGACGGTGTTTGAGGTTGGGAAGGATTTGAGTGGAGGTCCTGATGATGTGCCTGTTGAGCAGTGGTCAGGTATGAAGAGGCTCGTGGGGAGGTTGGAGCAGGGGAGGGATTGAATGGAAGGGGTTTTATTTTCTTTCTTTATTTCTTTCTTTAAATCTTGGCTGTCCCTCCTCCATCTAGGGAATCTGATACCTTTTGTTCAACAGACATATATCCTATGTTCTTCTTTCCCTGTTATTTCATGTTCGATCTCAATTTCTTCATTTCACTTCTCTTCACTACACCAGATCAGGATCACCACAGTTATTCTGACGTTTTCCTTTTCAGACTCTGTCAATTTATGTATACTTTCCTAATGTCCATTTTTTGTTCCAATGGTGTCTCATGCGATTCCCCACCAAGATCTACAAAATACCCAAATCACTTTCATGTTTTTCCCTTTTTCAAATAGGATAGCTTAAATTCTAGAAATCTATGATCTCTTTCATGATCATAAACATAAACTACGGCATAACGATCTATCCTCCTCAGCCAATTCCTAATATATACATACATATACTAATATATCTTTATAAAGTTCGGACACATCTCAAAGCTAATAGAGAACCAAAGGAAATTCGTACAAACTGTTTCCCAGCAACCAAGCTTTGATTTTAACTGAATATAAATAAATACAAAAGAGATGCTAATAGCCAGGGTATTTATTAATAAGTATAGCGAAACCCGACCTACGAGCAGGAGATGTTAGCATGATGACCTCGAACAAAGGTGACAAAGCAGTGGAGAAAAGGAACATACCACCCCCTCAATTTTTTTCTCGCTTGCCCTTTGTCGTTGATTCATAACGTAAGAGTACGTTGAGAACACGAGGACAATTGAAATCATCAGCGCATGGGAGCTAAATATTTTTAACCCTTAGGTTAGTCCGTATTTCCAGATAAACCCAAAAAGGAACATCAAACCCGCCTAATTTCCTCAATGAAATGAATCATAATCGCGAATTCCAAATTTAATTAGATTTTCATTTACACAATAGAAACGCAAACCGCCGTCTCATACGTTGGCGCCTCGCTAGATCTCACAATAAAACTGCCCGCAATGCCCCCGAGACCGTTAGAGGCAGTCACCGAAGCCGCAACGGTGGTCCGTTTCCACTGGCCAACGATGTTGTTAGCCTGGTAAGCGTTCAGAGCAGCGCAGTTGGAAACATACGCACCCGTGGCGAGGAATGTGCCGATATAGCGGACAGTGACTTGCTTGGAAGTTGGGAGGCCAAGCATTAGGAAGCCGGCAATTAAGCTGAGGGAGTTGAAGAAGATGAGGGGTCCGCGGAGGCACAGTTTGTCCCCCAGTAAGGAGGTGAGGAGGACGGGGATGACGGCGTAGTAGTATGGCTGGATGAGTAGTGCCAGTTAAATGCCAGGCCTCTTTCTGGTTGGGATGGGTTATAGTGGGTATCACTGTGCATATGGGGGAGTTAGGTAGGGCTTAGGTTGGTTAAACTCACAGGTGCAGAAAGTAGAATGGACTTGTTTGCATCAAAGCCCATGCCTCCCTGGAGGATGATTGGCAGAAAGTACGATAGGGAGGTTGACACCAGGTTCAAGAGGAAGAAGAGACAACTGAATCCGTACAGTTTGAAATCGAGAAAATGAGCCAGGATCTTGGACACGGAAAATGGCTCCGGGAATGCATCTTTTCTGTCTTTCTGGATCCTCCCTGTTACTATCTCCGCCTCCGACTCAGTAAAGAAGCGGAAGCTTCGATGCGCATTTTCAGGGAAATCAATCATCCACCAATACGTGGTGATGCCCACGAAAATGGCGATAAGGCCGATCACCAGGAACATCCACCGCCACCCCTCAAGCCCAGTTTGGCCATCGAGGTGATTTAAGCCGAAATTCATGATGTTCCCAGATGCCAGAACTAGAACCTCTCCAGCCTGCAGAAAAACAAAACGGAGCTGCTGCTCTTCCCGTGTATACCAGGTACTGATCAGATATGCCAATCCTGGATAGACCCCAGACATGGAAATGCCCAAAAGGATCCGGAGGACAATCATCTGTCTCCAACTTTGTATAAAAGCCGTGCACATAGTAATCAGACCAAAGAACATAGTGATCAGAGAGAACCATATGCGAGGGCCAATGAAGCGGACTGCGACTGTGGATGGAAGCTGAAAGACAACACTTGAGATGGTGAAAATAAAGATAGCTACTGAGTATCGAGTTCCCTCCAGCGAGAGATCGGTCATCATGCTAGTTACCGAGCCTGAGGAAATGATGCCGGAATCTAGCAGGTTCAAACTGCATAGGATTCCAGCAATGGTACACATTCGAATATCTACTTTCAGACGCAATCTGCGCTCCACTTGCTTCTCTTGAGCTCTGTTTAAAATTCCATTTTCAGCCTCGACAGTAGAAATACTCCCCCCGACTCCCTGGCCTTTGCCGGGACCTCGTACCCAGCGCTCCCAGGGCGAAGAGGGGCATTTTTCAGCCATCTGCAAAATGTGAAGGGGGGAATTGATGCTCTCGAAAAGAAGGAGAAAAAGTAATTGGGAAGAAGTTCGGTAGCATAACAGGAACGGGACCATCGTTGTCAATTTATGAAGACTCCAGACAGGAGAACGCGAGTATTTCAACTGCGGCTGGAATGGCCGAGGTTAACAAAAAGCTGGTTAATCGGCCGCTCAACCCCGCGTATCAGAGCATTCCTCATCTTTGGATGTGCTCAGCGCGCATCACTCTGTAGGCATGCATGAATAATCCGGGATATGTAAGCGGACCATCTAGTTGAATGATAAAATACCATGACTTAACTTGACAAAATGAGAGAAATGATTTGATAGCGAGAGACGCAGGAGACAACACTGAGATCATGTATACAAAGTTTTCGTAAGGCTCTGTGAAGCTTTATCCCTGTCAGACACTTCCATCACGTGACCCTATTTCCCCCATATAGAGTCGTTCTCGTAGTGTGCAAACTTCTGCAATCAATCAATCAAGCTCGCCACTCTGTCAGTTTCTGGCCCTGCCTGGTGTATCGACGCCTCTGCGGGGGGGCTGGCCGGCGATACCTTCGTCTCCAGCGGTTAAACTAGCCGTTGGACCTCCCCCACATATAAAATTGCCACCATTTCTGGGCTTAGATAACTATACTGCAAATAATCGTTAGTAATCCCTCCGGGGGGTTAGGTAGGGGTAGTTCCTATGTTGTTAAGGTTCCTCTGTATAACCCAACTCATGTATGTGTAGTCTCAAAATTTTGATGAGCTTGTCACATGATGTATAAATCAATGTTTTCAATATATAATAATATAGCTATTTACCCCGAGAGAGAGAGGTGTTGCTTTAGATAAGGCCGGGGAAGAGGAATCCAGCAATATGCGTTGTATTAGTCAGGGGCTATACTTTCGGCAAACTCCACAGCCCCCAAAAGCTTCAATATCTACAAACTGGGGGGACTTACTTCATTGCCCAGGTAGATACTAAGTCACAACAATATGCTGTCTGTGAAAGCTTCAATAAAGGTCAGAGAGGCCGCTTGCAGCTCTATGAAATAGCTTCCGCAGCCTGCGCAACTTCCTCTGCGTGGTCACCGTCAACTTTCGAGTGGCCGGACACAAGGACTGGTTTTTGTTATTATTGGCTTCAACAGTCACTCCGACTAGTAAACGCCGCGCCTGACCTGCAAGCCCCCCTCAGTGACAGTGTGACGCTTACAGCTCCACGGCGCTCCTGTTGAGTCTTCCTCGCTACCCGTACTGGGTTTGCTTCTCGGTCCGGGCAAATGGAGCAAGGGCTTGGCCTGCTCGTCTCCTCTCTCTTAAATATTATATATATACTTGCCCCCCTCAAGCGGGTTTCAACAATACAATATTTTTTTAATCGCAAGGGAAAGATCGGAATAGCTAGACTTCTCTGTTCTCCTCTGCTTTCTTCTTCATATAGGTATGGTTCTTTTAATCCATATAATAACTACTTAATACTCTTTGACTGCTCAGTTTTCCTCTTCTGCCCGCACTTCTGCGTTGGCGACTTTGGAACCGCAAGGGGCTAATTTCCTGAGAAAGCAGAACACACTCTTGATCAAACAAGCGTTAAATTACCAATTCATCCTTTATTTTGTCTTAGTCATTAAATCGTTAATACCGCCAACCGAACCCTATTATCCGCACCAAGCTCAAAATGGTCGAATACATTCCACCCCCGGATCCTCGAATTCTCATCCCTCCTCTCCTTGCCTGTCTTGCCGCCGCCTGTACCTCCCCCAAACCTCCTCCTGCTTTGCTCTCGTTGCTTTCACCAATTCTTCGCCAACGTGTACAGATCCTGAGCTCTATTTCACAGCCTTCTTCAGATTCATGGCTACAACTGTTATGTTGGGATTCTAGTAAGGCAGTAGAGGTTCAAAAAATTGTTGATGCCACGACGTTCGAAGTTCACCCTGTTTCTGGAGAGATCGAAATCTCCGATGACGTCCGGATCACGTATAAGCGGCTAGACTCGGAGACGCTTCGATCGAAACTCCTGATCGATGAATACGATCTTATAGTGCTTTACGTATGGTGTTCCGCGGATCAAGAGGGGGACGGACCATGTTGGAAGGTTGCAGAAATCCTGCCAGGCCATAGTCTATATGAGGATACGGCTACCTGGTCAGAAACAGTGGAAGAGGCAAATGAATACAAACGGCTGAACATGCTGAAGGCAGCATCACATGAAAGAGATAAAGTGTATAATGGCGTGTCCAAATCTACCCAACCCCAGCTAGTGGAGCCAGAGGAGGGAGAGGAGGACGATGATGACTACTGGGCGCAATATGACAATACGCCCGGCAGGACACCAGCAAAGCGATCTCCCGCGCTAAACCAGGCTCGATATAACGGCATTGGCCCCGAGCAAAACGCTTCGAATTCGTACTTCGCCAGATACAACGAGGTACAACCTGCTTTGGACAATGACAACCCTTCTGTCAACCAGAGTGGGGTCGGGGAGTCGACCTTGAGCGGCAACGTACTTGGTTCCGTCTTTCAACGGCAATCAGAGGAGCTTCTAGCTGAACAACGCAGCGCAGCCCCGCTCTACCAAAACGGCAACCATCCCACGGACTCTCGCCTACCCTTAAACCATCCGAGGCCCTCGTCGGCGTCCTCTGGCGGTTCAGAGACTGTCAGTAAGCTCGAGAAGACAGCGGAGTACCAGTCTGTCTCAGAGATGGGAGTGAAGCACCATATCTCGTCGAATATCAAGAGTCTTTTTAGGCTAGCGAGGGCTACGGGGTTGTCGAAGGCGGAATTTGACGCTCTTGTGAGGAGGGAGTTGGACTGTCTTAGTTTGATGGATATTGATGACGCTGATGAAGATGATGATGGGCGAGGCGTTTAGGCATGTGTACTCCTGGCAGTACTGTTATATCTTGAGCATTTTCATGGCGGATAGCGTGTTTTTGTTTTATGTGTATTTTTCATATATACTGCCATCTATGGTGCATGTAATTGGATATCATGGAGATGTATGTATGTATGTATGCATATTTACCTGTAGAATACATTGCTCTGCTTCCAAGGTTCAGTCTGTGATTTTCGCTAGGCTGCTTCGGGTTACTCCTACCAGTCAAACCCGGAGCGGACCACCTAAACATTAATTATTAGTGTATACAGGAACCAGGACCGTTGATATATTTAATTCTCTTATCCAACACAATCACGCCAGACACTGCTCCTTTGAAACCGAGTAATTTCCTAATCCTCTTCTCGACGCTCTTTTACCATGCCAATTTAATTAGTATTTGCCCGTGTTTCGTAAGTCGTCCAATTCATCGTTTACTCTCGGATTGTCTACTATCCCCCTCCGTTGCAGTAAAGGCTGACGTGTCTGCTGGTCCAGCTCTATATTCTCCTAACTTCCCCCATTACCTCTCTTCGTTTTCGAATTTGGCCTTTCTGCGGTAACCATGACTTCTTCTCCCCCGAGCCTCCGGCAGCGAGCGGGAAAGAAACCCGCAGATGTCAAAGAGCAACAACGAGCAAGCAGCCCGCCGCCCACGAATCCGGCAAAAACGCCCGCTTCCGCACCTGCACAATGGCACTACAGAATCGCCATGGTGGTCCTGACGCTGCTGGCATTTGCAACGCGCTTTGCGAACCTTAGCCACCCCAATGAAGTTGTGTTTGATGAGGTACACTTTGGAAAGGTTAGTACTATGCCTGCTTTGAGTCTCCGTTGTGTGCATACTATTGCTTGCGCAGTGGCTATGCGATTGCCCCTTTTCCCCCCTGAACAGTTTTGGATGATCTATCGTTAGACCACCGTTGACTTATTCTGCTGCCATTGAATAGTTTGCTTCATACTACCTTCGACGCACCTATTTCTTCGATGTCCACCCGCCATTTGGGAAGCTCCTGTTTGCCCTCATGGGCTGGCTGGTGGGATACGATGGGCATTACCTCTTCGAGAACATTGGGGAGTCGTACATAGAAAATAAGGTCCCGTATGTCGCTCTTCGGGCCATGCCAGCTATTCAAGGCGCTCTAACGATCCCCGTGGTTTTCCTAATCATGTGGGAGTCCGGCTATTCCCTGCCAGCCTGCGTTCTATCTGCAGGGCTGGTCTTGTTCGACAACGCGCATGTTGGGGAGGATAGGCTCATTCTGCTAGATGCGACGCTAGTTCTGACAATGACACTGAGCATCCTCTGTTACATCAAATTCTACAAATTGAGACATGAGCCATTTGGCCGTAAGTGGTGGAAATGGCTGCTGATGACCGGAATCTCGTTGAGCTGTGTGATTTCAACTAAATACGTTGGTGCCTTTACCTTTTTGACTGTTGGGGCCGCTGTCTTGATAGATCTGTGGGATTTGCTTGACGTGAACCGCCGTGGAGGTTCTCTGTCTCTGGTCGAATTCACCAAACACTTCGCCGCTCGGGCAGCAGCGCTGATCATTGTGCCGTTTTTCTTTTATCTGTTCTGGTTCCAGGTTCACTTTGTGATTCTCAACAGGTCCGGCCCAGGAGATGACTTTATGAGCCCTGAGTTCCAGCAGACTCTTGGCGACAATGCGATGACTTTGAAATCGGTTGGAATTGACTACTATGACCATCTCACCCTCCGACACAAGGGTACCAAGATATATCTGCACAGCCATAAAGAACATTACCCCCTGCGTTATGAGGACGGTCGCATTTCCAGCCAAGGTCAACAAGTTACTGGTTACCCTTACAATGATACCAATAATTATTGGGAGATCCTTCCTGCAGCTCCATTTGATGCCAACGACCGACTTGGACATCGCGTTAAAAATGGTGACATTGTCCAGCTTCATCATCTTCAAACGGATACTATTCTTCTAACTCACGACGTGGCTTCCCCATATTACCCAACGAACCAAGAATTCACCACTGTCTCGCGGGAATTGGCAGATGGCAATCGCCACAATGATACCTTGTTTGAGATCAGGATCGAGAATGGAAAACCTGGCGAGGAATTCAAAACATTGTCTAGTCTTTTCAAACTTGTCCATGTGCCTACGAAAGTTGCCATGTGGACTCATCCCAACCCCTTACCGGAATGGGCTTTCAAGCAGGCCGAAATCAACGGAAACAAAAACATCCAACAGTCAACTAATCTATGGTTTGTTGAGGATATTCCATCCCTAAGCCCGGAAAGCGACAGGTTAAAGCAGGAAGCTCGCGTTATCAAACAACTTCCTTTTACCGTAAAGTACCTCGAGCTTCAGAGGGCAATGTTCTACCACAACAATGCCCTAACTAGCAGCCATCCCTATGCCAGCGAGCCGTTCCAATGGCCCTTCCTTCTCCGCGGAGTAAGCTTCTGGACCAAGAGCGATACTCGTGAACAAATATACTTCCTTGGCAATCCCATCGGCTGGTGGTTTGCCAGCAGTCTCCTTGCGGTGTTCGCAGGTATCATCGGTGCCGACCAACTGTCTCTCCGAAGAGGCATTGACGCTCTGGAAGAAAGTAAGAATATCATCATTTTTGCCCGCCTATGTTTTAATGATTGTCGTTCTTTGCTAACACCCTTTTTCCATCCTTTTCGTCCTAGTCTGGGGACCTGGCACCCGCTCCCGCCTCTACAACAGCACAGGCTTCTTCTTTCTGTGCTGGGCCGCACACTACTTCCCATTCTATCTCATGGGCCGCCAACGCTTCCTACACCACTACCTACCCGCCCACGTTGCCTCCGCCCTCGTTGCCGGTGCCCTAATCGAATTTGTCTTCAACATCGATCCAGTAACTAAGAATGATGACGCCTCGAGCACCAACTCAGCCTCGATCGCGGTGTCAAGCGCCAAAACGGCCCTGTCAGGTCGACGGGTAAATAGTCTCAAGTCACGACTGGGCCGGCAGAGTGTGATGGCTACATGGGCGGCTGTTATTGCTATTATGAGCGCGGTGATCTATGGGTTCTATTTCTTTGCGCCGTTTACGTATGGACGACCAGCTCTGGATGTTGCTGGCATTCAGGCGAGGCAGTGGTTGTCGTATGAGTTGCATTTTGCGAAGTAAAATGGAGTGCATGGTGACCGTTTGGGAGAAGGAAAACACTCTTGGTTTTTTATTTTTTGGTCTTTTCTTCTTTTCTCCCTGGCTGTTCTCCTATGGTAAGTTAAAAGGGCCTCTCTCTTTCTCTCTCCCTCCCTCCCTCCCTCCCTCTCTCTCTCTGTGTGTGTGTGAGAGAGAGAGATATGTTTCTTTTCTAGAGTAACCTTCACTGTATGTACAATCAAAAAGATTACTGTTCTATTTTAGCCGTTGCTGATCTTGATGTCGGACTGCATATATAATCTCCCTATCTACAAAACAAAGAAAAGAAACGCCTTTTAATTTAGTATCTATCCTTAATTATTCATTGAAACCACATCCCACCCTCTCCTCCCCCTTTTTGTGCACGCTGAAACATTTGTAAAACTATCGTGAGGCTTTGATCTTCGACATTGCAAAACCGTGGCCTAAGCTGGTCCAAGCGTTAACCTTAAAGTTTAATGAGGTGTTCTTTTCCCTCCAGGAATTAAACGGTAAACCATTTATGGTAAGGCGTCCCTTGTCTCTTGTTCCGCGCCACCTCCAGCATACTGGATACCAGCTGCTATTAGCGCGTTAGGAGGAGGATTGTCCTTGTTTCGAAAATAATACTCGGAACTGTTTGAAGTATGGTAAGTATCATTTAGCTGAATAATTTGAATGGAGTTCATTCGATTTGATTCGATTCCGAATTTGTTCAGATATAGATCGGCGCAGACAGTTGAGTCCACACACAGCGTACCAACATCTCCATCCAATTTCAAACAGTGGACATCGGTGATATCCTTATTTAGGACACATGTATTGATGGGGCGGTGAGAGACACTTAATGTATGAAGTTTAGGGGACCTCGAAGACACCAAACCTGTCTTTATATTAATATAAAAGGATCCATGCGAAGATCAGGAACAATGAGAGCAAGTCCCAAAAGGGACAAGTTGGTCACGGGACCCGTGAGTCCCGGAAAATTGATACTCCGTAGCTCTGGAGCCGAAAGAGGCGGGGTGTGGCGCACCTTGGCGCCAAGGCTATGACATGTTGCTGACTGAGGATTGGGTCAGCAATGAGCAAGCGCAATAATAAACCCTCGGAAGCTGTGGAAGACCAAGATCTAACCCCGTTCAACAAGAAAAGTATGGTGTGTCCTGTTGGAAATAGGTTTCCAAAGATGCTTCTAGCACCATTGAGAATTCTCTGAAAGCTTCGCGCAGGTTTTCAGAGGGAAACTATATAAGCATCGGGGCAGGCCCATGAAGCAACTTCCCTCTCTTCTAATTTGCATCGCAGCAATTGTTCTATTCTACTTGATCGACAATATCAAAAACTTCACCTACAGTCATATTAACCTCTCATTTCTATCGTCTTCCTTGATGCGAAACAGCACCTCTACTTCTACCATTCGGAACACCATTCCAGGTGCAATATCCTCCATACAGTCTATCACCCTTCACCCTTTATCCGACATGTCTGTCCCACGCGCAATCCGCATGGCATTTGCTGCCATTGAGCAAGCAGAGGGCGCAGGGGCGCGCGTCCGCAGATCAATCGGCACTGCGAAACTGCGGAATTTCAGTCCCTTCCTCATGCTCGACCACTTCACGATCGGAAAGGGTGCCGGATTCCCCGACCACCCACACCGCGGACAGGAGACAATCACATACCTGCTGTCGGGAGGGGTCGACCATGAAGACTTTGCCGGACACAAGGGCACAATTGGACCGGGAGACCTCCAATTCATGACTGCCGGCCGCGGAATAATGCATGCGGAAATGCCCCACGAGAACCCTGACGGAAGCCCCAACGTCGGCATGCAGCTGTGGGTTGATCTACCCGAGAAGCTGAAGATGTGTGAGCCGCGATACCGCGATCTTCGCGCGTCAGAGATACCAGTGGCAGACGTCGATGAGGGCAAAGTCACGGTTAAGGTTATATCCGGACAATCGCACGGAGTCGATTCGGTGCGCGATCTAGCCTACACTCCAGTTTGGATATTTGACATCACGATTCGCCCCGGTGGGAAGATTTCTCAACCCCTTCCGCAAGGTTGGAATGCATTTGCATACACTTTGGCCGGAACTACGAACTTTCGCACTGCCAGCGAATCCAATACGACTCCGGCTTCTTCACTCGGTGACCGGTCACCCGCCAAAACTGTTGGCCCGTTCCATAATGTTGTGTTCGACAAAGCTGGAGATTTTGTGGATGCATCGAATGCAGTGGAAGCGAAAGAGGACTCGAGGTTTGTGCTGATTGCTGGCCAACCTCTTGATCAGAAGGTTGTGCAATACGGACCTTTTGTGTTGAATAGCCAGGAGCAGGTATATCAGGCGATGATGGATTATCAGACTCATGCCAATGGATTTGAGAGAGCGAATGGATGGGAAAGCGAAATTGGGAAAAGGATGGGCTAGGAGCTCGTTTGAGATTGGTTGAAATTGTTTTGTGTTTCGCATTCATCTCTGAAATACTCAGAGCATATCTGCATCTGTATAAATATATTTTGCCTTAAGCTATTTTTTATTTTTTTCGTTGTCAATGAGCTATTGAAATATGAACTGAGGTTCTCCCATTCCGCGGAGAACATACCTCACAATACCTTAAATTTCAAAATATAAAGAGAAAAGTAGTTGAATACAAAATCCCAGCCCACTCTTAGCATCTATACTCTGTAACCCTGGAAGCTCACGCTAGACCAAAAACGGAACTTGATGGAAGATGCCACCTCCCACCGCGACCACGCGGCAGCCGAGAACAAACTTACCTACAAGAACCGAGGAAACATCAATGATATTCAAAATCAAGCCCGATGCGGGGGGAGACGACGAAGATAGGTATCTTTCCTGACGAACGTTATGACATCTACGATTATGCGCAGCCCGTGAACTAGAGAGACCTCGATTTCCAAATCAGTTGCAAGCTGTCTGTTATAGAAGTCTATTTTGACGGACCATAGCTTATCGCCTGTCTGCTCATATTTATTGAAAACCCGGAGAATTGGCTACTGGACGACAGCAATTCGACATTCAATACTATTTAGAACACACGCGCATTCAAAATAATAATATAATAAAATAAAAAAAATAGGGGGAGTAAACGGAAATTATGCGGGGCCATCCCCTCCTGTCGCTTTCGAGCGTACTGGCACATGCAACGTTGAGCTTGTGTGGACGGAAGCCTTTCAATGTTTATGAAGATGTCCTGGCGTTTCCACAGGTGAGACATACTCTTGTTCTCTCGGTTGATTCGCAACGAGCAGAAGTTTTATATATATATATATACACATATTGACTAACACACAACGCTTTTGACAATCTAGTTCGAGGTTGTTTTTCCTTACGAATATATCCTCTCTTCAGAGGCTCAAGAACGGTTAGCACCTCAACAATCCCCCAAATTAAATACTGCCACTCCCTCAATATCCGCCGCATCACCTGCCGACTCCTCCATAGTCTCGGACGGGTCCCGGCATCAGGTACCATTAAGAGATGGGACAAAGGAAGACCAACATGTACCCCCACCAGTCCTTGACGAGAAGGTTGAGAGCTACGAGGAAATGGTTCTGGATGGGATGCGATACGTTTGTACAGTACCTAAAGTGGTGACGATCAACGAGACAGAGGAGGTGGGCACTTCCCCAGCAGAACAGGAGAAGGAACTCGCACGAGCCGCTGATCGCGGGCTGGAATTACTAAGTGAAATGAAGGGGTCGTGCATGTACTACGTTGCGGGGTGGTGGTCATATTCCTTCTGCTACATGGATCAGGTGAGGCAGTTTCATGCTCTCCCGCCGGGGAATGGAGTCCCCGTTTACCCGCCTGCTGAAGATCCCACCACGCATTCCTACGTCCTAGGGAGATTCCGGAGTGAAAAGGGTGGTAACAGTGATCGTGATGCCAAGGGTAGCCAGTCGTCGTCAGGTGACAAGAAGCCTACGACTGAGGTGGCAGAGCTACAGACCAAAGGTGACTCGCGATATCTAGTGCAGCATCTGGAAGATGGCACCGTCTGCGATTTGACTGGCAGGGACCGTAAGATCGAGATCCAGTTCCACTGCCACCCGCAGTCAACGGATCGTATTGGTTGGATCAAGGAAGTTTCAACCTGCACATACCTGATGATCATTTATACCCCTCGCCTGTGTAACGATGTCGCATTCCAGCCACCGAGGGAACACGATCCGAATCCAATCGTGTGCAAGGAGATTATTGAATCGGACGGTGTTGATGATTTTGAGGAGACAAAGGCTTTTCAAGAGAGTGAGGAACATCTTATAGAGGTGCAGAAGCGCCTAGGGGATAAATTGCAAGTTGTTGGAGATATACAAGTTGGAGGGATGAAGCTTGTTGGGCGGGAGGGGAAGCGGATTGAGAAGGGTAAAGTTGCGTCTGCCGGGGAGGAGAGAGTTGAAATTGTGGCTAAACGCGAGGCCGGGGAGATTCACAGGCTGTCGAAGGAGGAGCTTAAGAAGTTCAACCTTGACGTGGATAAGATTGAGACGTTGAAGAAGCAGCTGGAAGAACTTGCGGAGGGCAAGAATTGGAAATTGGAAGTTATCGAGGCAAATGGGAGATCGATGCTGCGTGGTGTGATTGAGACTGGGTCTGATGAAAATGGGGAGGCAGCGGAGAAGAAAGGGGCGGGCAAGGAGAGGAAGTCAAAGGATGATGCGGAGAAGCGGAATCAAGGCAATGAGGAAGAAGGCAGTGATGAGACGTATAAAGATGAACTGTGATTTAACTCTTTTTATTTATTTATTTATTTATATTTATATTTTTTGGCTTCTTTAATTCCTGATGTACACTTATGGGTTTCTTGCTTCAAAGGGGTTGGGCATAGGCATCCGGTGGCCTTATTATTATCTGTTGTCAGATATTCTACACATATCTATATTTAGATAACTTGCCTTTTTTTTCCCCTTGACCAAATTCAATTTCACGTAGCGGTCTTTCTTTTTGTGAATTCTTGTAGCTATATCTCAGCCTCGTATATTATTTATCCATGGAAGCAATCCATATGATATTCACTATATATTTCATGACCTCACATGTATTAATTTCTCAGGTCGGAATAATTAAGAACAGGTGTGTCCGAGACGTTTGGATGGAAGAGTAGTCGTATCGTATCGTAAACGTGCGTTGCAAGGCACCAAAACCCCGCCCGGATAGTGCGTATCAGATGCGTACCGTAACTTACACCCGCCCTTCCTCAGTCCTTCTTGGCATCGCCAGCCAAACAACCAACCGTCGACTCCAACCTATTCTTACTTCAACCACTTGAGCCATCAAACGACGTAACATATATCTTCGCAAGAACTCAGCCTCTACCAGCCTCTACCAGCCTCCCTCTCTTCACCTGAATAATAGCGTCCCGCTTGTCAACCACTACGTTCCAACCCCTGTCACGTCTCTCTCCCCTTTTAATTTGACAGCTGACGCAGGCACTGCTATTCAGAACCTCATTCTCCACTTTGAATGTTTGCCAAATTTGGATAACTACCTTGAGAGTGGTGTCTTTTCTCTTTTTTAAAAAAAAATTATTTATTTTCTCTATATTTGCTTCCCGGCTTCCTGACGACAACCTTTCGGCGCTCCGTTGATTATCCCACGTCCCCCTCCGGCTGTGACGGACCGATTTGGCAACCCTGTTTTCTACGAACCCGCAGAACACCAGACAAAACCCCCTTTAACTCTTTCCTCTTGAACTGCGGCAAAACCAAACAGAATTAATTTTCTGGCCGATTGAACCGGCTGGGAAATTTCAGTTCTTGCACAGCGGAATAGGATTTACCCGTTGAGCCGAACTTGACACTCAGATAAGGATATATCCCTAAGGGATAGGTGATAGTGGAGTTCCAAAAAAGACATCATGGGATTCGTGGGGATCTATACTGCGGTGTATGATTATACACCACAGGCGGAAAATGAACTGGAGATCAACGAAGGGGATTTGTTGTATGTGCTAGACAAGAATTCAGAGGACGATTGGTGGAAGGCGAAGAAGAAGGCGGCGGAGGAAGATGAGGAGGAACCGGTTGGTTTGGTGCCAAACAATTATGTTGAAGAGGTAAATGATGGATTTTCACCTCGTGCTCTATTGGTTTTTGGGGGCCTTCTTGTTTTAAAATGGTTGGGAGTGGGATATACACCTCTCACCGTACTTAAATAGGATATTCATCAGGATGAGCGATGAGATGAATGTCGAGGATATTAAATGAGCTAACAATGTTACTTATTATAGGCACGGCCGACTCACAAAGCCAAGTCCCTTTACGATTATGCACGCCAAACTGATGAGGAGGTGTCCTTTGCGGAGGAAGTTGAACTGCTTGTCTACGATGCCTCAGACCCGGACTGGACCCTTGTAGGCATTAACAATGACTTCGGCTTTGCACCGGCCAATTATATTGAGATAACGGAAGATCTTACGGACGACAAAGCCTCTCCTGCTGCTCCCGCTCCTCCTTCACTCCCCGCACGATCGGCTGACACGGAGTCTGAGGGAGTGCCAACCCCGGGATCCCCTTCCAGCGTCGATGCAGGTCCGGCTGCTGCTATAGCTGGAATCCTCCACAAAGCGCAGCCGTCAATATCTTCTGAGCAACCACATTCCATTAGGCCTTCTCTGGCCGTATCTCACCCTCCGCAACCACACCGTCAGCCAATGTATACCCCAGAAGAATCTGACGGAGAAGATTCTGTCCTACCACCCGCCCTTCCACAACGTCCTCCATCAGGTCAAATATCCACACCCGTGCAGCTGCCTTCTCCACGTGAACTATCTCCACCGCGTCGTTCGCGATATTCTTCGCATATGGAGGATGCATCTCCTGGCATCCAGTCATCCCCGCCCTATAGATCTGGAGAGTTTCATTCTGATCATCAGTCTGTAGTTTCTCCATCTGGGTACCGTCTATATAACATTAGTGAAATGGTTTCCGTAATGGGAAAACGGAAGAAGATGCCCACGACGCTGGGAATAAATATCAATACCGGAACCATTTTTATTTCTCCGGAGAAATCGGTAGATGGACCCCATCAGGAGTGGACTGCTGATAAGTTAACACATTATTCTATCGAAGGAAAACACGTATTTATGGACCTTATCCGGCCTAGCAAGAGCGTTGATTTCCATGCCGGGGCGAAGGATACAGCGATCGAAATTGTTTCCGCGCTAGGTGAAATAGCGGGAGGATATAAAGCCGAAGGCCTAAGAGAAGTAATTGCGGCCGGTGTTGGAGGTGCTCGGAAAAAGGGTCAGGTGTTATATGATTTTATGGCTCAGGGAGATGATGAAGTCACCGTTGCTGTGGGCGATGAAGTTATCATACTGGATGACACCAAATCAGACGAGTGGTGGATGGTTAGGCGCTTGAAAAACGGCAAAGAAGGGGTCGTTCCCAGCAGCTACGTTGAGCTCACCGGAACGATGACGGCAGATGAACCGAGCAAGAAAGGCACTAACGCAGGACTTTCCTCTATTGAGCAGAACCGACTTGAGGAATCACGGCTGACGATGGAATCGGCGCGTAAGTCAAAGAGTCATACTTCTAGTGACTCGCGCAGCGGAGAGGTAGGACCAGGCATCGAACTTCCGGAGAGAGGTAGTAGTTTGTTTCCCAGAGAAAGCAATAATGACAATGGTTCACAGCGGCAAAAGCGTGATAGCAAGTTGAAACCAAGTAAGTCAATTTTCGCTTTCCTCCACGCATCGTTCTTTACCTTCTGCTTAGAATGATGCTCATAATGTAAGGTAATATTTTAGAACCTGATCCCACGAAAACGCGGAAGTGGACTGATAGATCTGGTACTTTCACTGTCGTTGCGGAATTTATCGGTCTTGCGGATGGTAAAATCCACCTTCATAAGCAGAATGGCGTGAAAATCGCCGTCCCGGTGTCGAAGATGTCTGTCGAAGACATTGAATACGTGGAGAGAGTCACTGGCCAATCGCTTGACGAGGACAAGCCGCTTTCCGACATTCGACGACGAAGCCGCCTTCGCGACACCGGAAAAGTTGGCGCAAGTGTAAAGTCATCCGATTATGACTGGTTCGACTTTTTCTTGAAGGCTGGAGTCGGGCCCCATCAATGCGAACGCTATGCACAGAATTTCACCAAAGATTCTATGGACGAGAGTATATTACCTGATATTACGATGGAGACATTGAGAACCCTAGGTTTGAAGGAGGGTGATATTTTGCGAGTCATGAAATATCTTGACAACCTTTTTAATCGTGCTGGCAAATCCAAAGTGGTCAGTTTCGGAGGAGAAGAGGTCATAGGCAACGGCGAGGAAGGGGCGGGCGGGCTCTTTTCCGGTCCCAGGGGAACTCTCCGGAATAATACTCGCAAGGGACGGCCTGCTCCACCTGTCCAGACTAGCGATGTTGTGGATCCCAAGGCTTTCGAAGCTAAAAGTGACGTTGGTAAAGATGGATTGCCTGCAAGAGGCTCCCAGGCTACCAGTCCGTCGGCGGATAAGGGTATCCAAGGATTTGAAGACAGTGCATGGGAGATTAAACATCCTAAACAGCCCTCTACCTCCGCTGCACCAACAACTACCCCGGCTACTACTGCTCCCACAGCGGCAACTCCTGCAATACAACCTCAGCCAGCACCTCCTGTAGGGGCAATGGCAGACTTATCTCTTCTCTCTACTCCCCTGCAACCAACAAAGGCAAATCCACCCCCTCAACCACAACCTACCCAGCCTACCATTTCCCCACCCCCTCCTCAAATTCAACAACCACAACAGCCACAGCAAACTGGTGCAAACCCGACTTTCTTTGCTCAGCTGCCCGTGCCACAGCAGCAACAAGCCCAAATTACCGGCTATGTTCCACAGCAACAGCCAATGCCTCCAAGGCAGCGGCCACAACCGCCAGCCATGGCAAATCAAGGATCATCCCTTCTTCCTCCCCCGCCAGACCGGCCCCTCTCAGCACCTCAACGCCTGCCACCAAACAGCGCTTTTGGCCCACCTCCTTTGCAGCCCCAGCTGACGGGAGTTCCAGCATCTGGTCCGAGCATTGCTCCTCCGGGTTATAGCCTTGCAGAACTTAATCAGCAACGGTTCCAAGCTCAATTCAGCCAGCAACAGCAATTACAACCCCAACAAACTGGCATAGGGCCATTCGGAAACCAAATGCCTTCTCAACAGATCGGGATAATGCCGCCTCAACAACAACAGCAATTTGGCTTCCAATCTCCTCAACCGTTTATGAACAGACCCCAGCAACAAGGATTCCAGTCGCAACTTGCGCCCCAGCAAACTGGATTGGCAGGTTTTCAACAGCAGCCACAACAACAGCTTCCTCTGCAGACTGGGATCAACGCCACTCTCCCCCCGCCAATACAACCACAGCGTACTGGCGTGAACGGATATGGTAGCAATACCAATTTTACTCCTTCACCGCCCTCTATTCCTCCCTTCCCGCAACAGCCCACTATTACACCGCTGCAACCGCAAAAGACTGGACCGCCACCCCCTGTTCGTTTCGGCGTGCAAAAGGATGCGAAGAAGCTGACGCCACAGCCGACAGGGCTTAAGGCGAATCTCTCACAAGCTAGTAAGTTGATATCAGATTTTCATTTGTTGTGTCGTATCCATAAGATATATGGTATGATTCATTTATGATTTGGTTTTGCTAATTTGCAAAATTTTTTGTTTTCTTTTTCTAGCACCGTCCAATCCGTTTGGATTTTAACTCCAGAGTCCAGGTCCTCCATTATATATAATGCTATGTTTGTGTTTTCAAGGTTTCACTTTTGTCTGGCCGACGGAGGATAACCACCAGCGTCTGTTCACCGTTCCATTCATACAATATCCACCGTTAACCATCATTCCTTATGAACCAAATTTGTTTGCTAGTTAAGCTGGTCTCCTGTTACTTTTTGCGCTCCACTTTTCTTATATATCGTACTCTTCTTTGCATAATTCTTAGAAGATAACTTAATTAGGTTGGCATATGCTTTTCGCATTGAAATGCCTTGTTTTCCCTCTTTCTCTTTCCCCGCCCCCCTCCTTTTGTTTTTCTGTTTCTATGGTCTGCATCATCATCATTAGTACATTATTTATACTTAGCTCTCGCGTTGTTTGTAAGTCTCCTGGTTCCGTGCATGCCTCCTCATGTGCGTTTCTGCGACTTTCAAAACTGATTTTCCGCTCTTTCATCTTGTCGTGTCATCTACGTTTACCTATTTTAGCCAGCTTTTCGTGTGTTTTGCTCTTTTGTATTCCCCCTTATATAATTTTTTTCTTTACTTTTTTTCTTTTCTTTTCTTTTCTTTTCTTTTTTTTCTCTTTTTTCCCTTTTTTCTTTTTTCTTTTTTTTTTGGAATACAGATGAAGCGCAGCTAGATAGGTAGTTTTGAAGTTGAGAGACTTTCGTTAACCTCTTTTACAGAATCTCCTTTTAGTTTTCTCGCAGTGGAGTCACTTTACTTTTTGGGTTTGTGTTTCGTTTCAACTTGTCTGGCTGACTACAATACCTTTTGTCCTACACAGTTTCGCCTGCGGGATATATAAATTATGTCTTGTTTTATACTATTTCCTGCACTATCCAAGTTTCTTATTTCGTTTCACTTCTTGTGGTATACGTCGCGCCAATTATCTGTAAATGGCGACGTCTACTTTCCAACAGATGTGTTTTCAAATCTATGAGATTTGGCCAGCAGCCAAATGTATATTCTGAAGTGAGGTAAGATACCATCTCACTATGGTTAGTTTAAAATGTTTGAGGTGTTAAGCTTTATATTTTCGCGCCTTAAAGCATATGATATGACAGGGGGGGGGCCATAACGAGTTCTGCACTTGAGGCTATCGAAATGACCTGGCTACCTTTCGATGGGTAGCTAATGGATCTAGTTTCGCAAAAACTGATCACATCCTTTTGACTTCTCAGAAACGGCGATGGGTGCCGTATGGACGTAGAAGAGGATCCTGGGGGCCCTGCTTCTTGCTCTCGAGAATAACGATCACGCCTCCTTCGACTCATTTCTTCAAGAAGGGGGCGGACAAGCAAATCCGGACCGCCCCCAAAACATCCACTCGACCTAATCTTCCGTGTCTTTTATTTACTTTTGCGTTTCCTTAACTACGTTACTGGTTTTCGAACTCACGGAAAATCTGATTCTGCGGACCACAGGTGGAAATGGCAACATTTGGCACGTGAAAATAAAATGGAATGTATTGAGATATGGCACCTAGATAAAGTAACGTGGACCGGACATATTCGATATAAATGAAGTGGGAATAAGGGGAAAGCGGATCAAAAACGAATGGGAAACAGACCAAGCAGAAGGTTTAATGTTGTAGGAATGAATGACGCCGATGATGGTAAATGTATCAAAAGCTGGAGCCATGACAAAGGTAGGGAAGAGAACCGAACATGCCCAATGATGCTAATAAAACGGAGGGGTGAGATGAGTAGGAGAGGCAAGTAATATGGGAGGTACGGGGATAGGAAATTCGTAAACTCGTAAATAAGCAAGGCAAGCAGAGAAATTGGTCAAAATATATAGATGAAAATGCCGCACATGAACAAGCGAGTTCCAAGAACTCCACCAGCCCCTTTAGATAACCATTATTCCCGCACAAAAACAGAAATTCAAAGGAAACTAAAAAGTTAAGAGTGAAAATCCACAATGCGCACACAAACTCAGATACTCGCTGAGCCAGAAGTTAAGAGTGACAAAGTCGTGAAATTTAATCAGACCATCCTGTACACCAAATCTGACGCCAACTCTCCCAGCGAATCCAGCAAATCCCTAAAGCCCAAATGCGATGTATCCATCGATTCCATATCAGTCAACGAAGGCGCCGCCGGCTCGTAGCTCACTAGTTCCCGCACTTTGCATGCAGCATAATGCGTGACCAGTTTTCGCAGCTCATTCTGCCTGTGTGCTGTCGGATTCGGGCCCGTCAGCGTGAAGACGGGGTCATCACGTGTTGTCCTGGTAAAAACGAAGTGCAATAGCTGGATGACTGCTGCAGCGCTAGAAGGGCCTAGATTGTCCGTCGTTGCGGAGAGTGGGAAGGACATCAGGTCGCGATGAAGTTTTTGAAGGGTAAGTTGGGCGAGGGTTGGGATTTGGAAGCGGGTAGCGAAGACATATATCTTGGCGTGGAAAAGGAGGTAGGGGATGGGTTCGGTGCCAGAAACGGCTATGCCGTAGCCTGGTGTGTTGCGGGAGAGAGGGGAGGGAAGGGCCATGCCACCGGACGCAGGTTGGTGGTGGATGTATTGTAGGGAGGCGAATTCGCCCCATAGACCCAGGCCATGGGATTTAGAGGAAATGAAGGATCCTTGGGAGGCAGAGTTGGGTCTGAGCATTTCGGGCTTAGGGGTCGCTTCGAAGTCGAACCAGTCGGGCGCGGCAGAGACTGCTTCTGAAGGGGGTATGCAAGGATTTGGCACTGCTGTTTCGTCAAGATTGGTGGGATCTACTGCTTCTGCTGGTGGTGTTTGTTGTGCTATTTCTGCAATTGGTGGAGGTGTTCTTGGTGGGGTCAGATTTGCTGCTGGGCCTTCGTCGAGACCCTGAGCACCCTTTGCAGCCCCTCCTTTCTGCTTCTTCTTCCCTCTTTTCACCCTTTTGCCTTTGCTAGACTCTTGATTTACATCACCATCTTGTTCTCCTTCCACCTTTTCCTCTCCTCCTTCTGCTGCCCCTTCACCTTCCTCACCTCCGTCTCCTGCAGTTATCTGCAGCTCCTCACCCGGCTGCGGAGTGGCTGGCGGCGAGGGCGCAGGGGGACGAGTAGGGGTAGCTAATGGTGAAGCCAACCCTGCAGCCCCTTCGTTTCCCCCACGTCCAATCGAAGTTGCCTTGGGATTTGGAACAGTGTAGTCACCGGTGTACGCATACTCGCAGAACCCGACGAAGGTCTCGACATCTTCTTCCTCCAGGACCGCGATGTGATGTCGTGACTCGCGCGTGTGACCATTGTTCATCAATTCATCGAGCCGCTGAGAGACATGTTTGGCAAGACCAGACTGAATGGTAAGTTTTGCATGTTCCGGCCCAACGAGGAACGTGAAGGAGGGAGAAAGAACAATGCTGTTGTGTCCAAAAATGGGGAAAAGTGATGGGTCAGCGGGAAGTCTGTCATTGCAGTGTGGATTGTCTTGTTAAAACCCGCTTGAGCGCGTGTATCTGAGACATAAATGACACTGAGAAGTGCGTATAATGGGTTTGAACGGATGCTAGAAGCCTCCATCTGCAGCGTGCATGTGTACTGCACATATATGTCTTCAACGTACCTATGGAAGTCCGGAACAGGAGCTGCTGCCATCCCGATCTCAAATGCAACAAGTAAATGTAAAATAAGAATCAAAACCGATATTCCTATTCATAAAATACAAAACTTCCTTATTTCCCCGCTATCAGGGAAGGGAAGGGAAAAAACAAAACAAAACAAAACAAAAAACAAATAGTAATCTAAAAACAACTTCTAGGAGGACAGAATGAGCAAGGGTTTGAGAACCTTAAGCTGCCTTTGTTGTCAATAAATAAATATATCACAACGAGGACAAGTTGCCTCTTCTTTGGCTAGCGCAGCGGCTTTTTTTCATAAAGGAACAACAGGCGTGATGGTTGTTATGCCCAGCTCGACTATTTGTTTGGTAGCGGGCTCACACGGGCGCTCCAAACTGTAGGATATGCAAACATCGTGTGCCCGAGACAACGGGTTACATGCATCCACTCTGGTGCATACGGAGAGGGGAGTTGATAGAACGGAAGCAGGGCAACCAGTTAACTCGCTGTCGTGGCAGAACATAAACTGGCCTCAGCTACGATGCGCACTCAATGGCGCTGGACCCCTGATAAACCTGGGTAGAAATGAATGAGTACAGGTGAGTGAGGCCATCTTGAGCGGTCAAGGCGGGGCAGGAGAGTCAGTCACTCCGCTGAGAGACTGGGTTCAGAATATCTGCAATCAGTGAAAAAAGGGTGGGAGACTGTGTTCCAAGGACCATTTGGAGTTCCTGTTCTTCGGGGCACAACCCTGTGTAGAGAGGCGCAACGGACTGCTCGATGTCATTAATAATCAGCCAACCAGTCGGGGATGGCCTTGGAAGAACGCTAACCACGCCCTACCGATGCCACTCGAATGACGGCTACGTGGTATTTCCAGTAGCAAGAAGGAGATGCAGCGAACGGGTCCTTGAACTCTGGCTGCAGCGGCTAGTTAACATGCGAGCGAGTTGCTGATGCTGTTGCTGATGCTGATAACTGGTGCTGAGGGTTGGGGATGTTTCGTGTGGGCTGGGGACGAGAATTCAGACTTGGCTCTCCAATAACCACTACAGGTCACGTGCTACACGTGCTACACGTGCTACAACGTATTTTCACCGACCAGCTAGGAGTATTTCTCTGCTACTGTTCTACTGCGGGCCTCAAAGGTATTTCCAGTATATTAACTATCATCTCTGGTGTCACCGTTCAGTGAGTGTTCTATATTCGTATTGGAAGGAAAAGCGAGCTAGTCTATAGTTACGGGGGTACGCAGAATCACGCGCGAGGGGGGGGCCCTTTACATTGGGGTTGGACGAGTCCCTGGGCTACAAGGGCAGCAGTCAGTCTATAAACTAACTTACCACCATTTGGCAACTTGGGGGGTTCCAGTGCAGTTGATTTAGAATTTTCACTAATGTGAGGTTGGCGGTTGAGAGCACCGAATCAGAGGCCGTGGTCGGCACCTTATTAAACTTACCCTTGGTCCAGGTTGGCTGGTTCTGGTTGGATACTCGGACTGGACGACGTCATAAACTCCAGGAACAATGTTTATTTTTATGAGCTAATTTAGTCTGGATGGACGCTTTTCCTCCCTCGTAAGAAGAACATTCCATCCGATGGAGGCGAAGCGTTGAAATATTTCTATGCTTGAAATGCCATTCTTCTCTTTATCATACCAGAAGTCCTCCTGTCTTTCTGCAAAGTTGATAAGAACCAATTCTCCATTTATTCAAACTCTCAGAAACTGCTAGGGTGTCGATTTGAACAAGATGCTGGATGATGTTCTTCTTCCTTCCCCCCCCCCTCCTCTTCTTTTCCCCTCCTCTTTTTTCCCCCCAAAAGCCCGAGATATTCATCAAGGATATTTTCTAGTGCTCTTATCTCAGGACTAGAGGGTAAAGTTAGAACCGCTGTTCAGTCATTTTTTATATCGTATTTTGCGTTAATGTTAGATTAAGTAAAAGCACATTAACGAAACAGTAAATGAGGTGCTTGATTTTAATTGCAAAGAATGTGAATGTGGGTCTCAGAGCCTGATAAGACTCCCATCAAAATGCCAGAGAGCTTTGATGTACCGAAAATGGATCCCCTATATGATGAGACGACACAGCCACCGTCCTTTTGGTTTCTTGTGTGCACACAACACACACACACACACACAGTCTTCAGGTTTTGAACGTTACAATCTCTATATTTCTTTTTTTTTTTCTTTTTTTTTTCTTTTTTCTTTTTCTCTCTCACTATCCTTACTCTCTTCTCCTTTGATTTCTATTTGCCTTGCTGTCTTATTTTTCTTAAAGTTATTATTGCCCTTCCCAAATCAGGGAAATAATACTCTGTAATCAGGACATACATCCCCATCTAGCGCGATGATGAAGCTCCGGCATAGACTTTTCTCCCTGTGAAGCTCACCCTGCCTCGTGTTCTATATGTATTCTAGTTATTTACACAGGTGTCTACGACAGTCGTCTGCAGGTCGAACCCCACTGTCCCCTCTGGAAGGGGAATTACCTCGCGTTGGCGAAACCAAACAAACAAACCAGCCCAGCCCTTTTGTTGACGAAGGAAAAGAGGCCCAACAATGCCCGGGCAATCAAAACTGACTGTCCTACGGCGACACATTGTTGTCGTCCTTATTATCACCTTCATTGTTATCTCTCTCTGCTATGTGCATATCACCTCTAACCAAAGCTTCTCACACGCCCTACGGACCACAGGGAGATTCACCCTCTCATTTTCAAATTTCTCCCGAACCAGCTCCATCTCCCAGCAAACAGAAGAGATTTCAGAAGAGGGATCATGGCCCTCGTTCCTGCCACCTCCAGATCCCCTGCCCACTCCAAACTTTCACCCCGGAGCACCCAAACCCCCCGGATCCAACTACTCCAGAGCCCTAATCATACCCCGCTTGAAGTCCGAGTACGTGAACTGGATCTCTCAGCTCAAGGATGTAGAGCCCTTCGTCTACGTCGTCGACGACCCCTCCGCGTCTCTCCACCCGCCCCTCAACAAGGGCCACGAAGTCATGGTCTACCTCACGTACCTCATCGACAACTACGACAACCTCCCAGACATCATGATATTCATGCACTCCCACCACAAGTCTTGGCATAACGAAGAGCCCCTGGACTCCGACGCCATCCTGCACGTCAACAGCTTGAGCAACGAGCACGTCACCCGCCAAGGATACGTGAACCTGCGCTGTGACTGGCAGCCCGGCTGCCCGGACTGGATGCATCCCCGGGACACGTGGGAAGACGCCATCAAGCAGGAGCAGATTTTCATCTCGAGGTCATGGAAAGAGCTTTTCCCGCGCGTGGAGTTGCCCCAGGTCCTCTCGCAGCCGTGCTGTGCACAGTTTGCTCTCACGCGCGAGCGGGCACGAGCCATCCCGCGGTCCAGATACGTGTTTTTCCGCGACTGGATGTTGCGCACGGAGCTGAGTGATTTCATCTCAGGCCGTGTGTGGGAGTATCTATGGCAGGTGGTCTTCGCAGGGCAGCACGTCTTGTGCCCCGCAGAGCACGTGTGCTACTGCGACGCATACGGTTTGTGTTTTGGCGGCGTCCCTGGCTTAGATCGGTACAGAGATCTGGTGAGACAGAAGAGTGAAAAGGAGATGGAACTGAACAAATTGTGGAAGGAAATGGATGGTGTTAAAGGGGCGGTGAAGGAGGATAACCTCCCCCAAGAGAAGGTGGAGAGGATGAGGACGTTGGGGGAAGGAGATTAAAATGGTGAAGATGGAAATAGCGGAGGTGGTTGAGCTGGCGAAGGAGAGGGGGAAGGATCCACGGGTTCGTGCCGAGGAGGCTGGCAGGATGTGGAAGGAGGGGGATGGGTTTTAAAAAAAAAAAAAAAAAACGTGTGCAATGCGGAAAAAGGGAAGATCATGCAGGCGACTCGGCTCGTTTAAGTTAACCTACTATCCCGCACTCCCGCTCCGGCGCAGGTGTGGTTTTCAGGAAAAAGCCTGGAAGACTCTTGCCTGGATTCATCTCCCGATTTCATCTCCCACCCCCGAGCATCGATATCCAGCATATATATCCGCCGTGCGCTGCTCCCTCCGTTTCAAACACGCTCTCGCCGGTGTGCCTGGCCCCCCGCGCAAAGAATCGTGAACGGTGAAAGGTGATACAAACCAGCCAACATGTTTCTAGGGGCTGTAAACATCCAAGATACGTTTTGAATTGGGGCCTCTGATTTTCTCATCTCCACAAGTTGTTTCGCAGAAGATCGGATCAGGTATCTGTTCTGTGCTGTGGATAATACAATGGCTTGCTTGGGTTTTCGGTTTCTGGCATCTGTGGAGAAAGAAAATATTTGTCTCTTTTCTCTCCCATGTCTGTATATGTATATACATATATATATGGTTTGGTGAATGGTTTATTAATGGAGATAGATAACTTGGGGCTGGAAGAGTGAGCAGCTCTTCCCGCAATCTCTGGGAATTGAGTTTCCTGAAATTTTATTGTGTATCGGCTGGCATCTTCAGGTGGTGACTAAGCAGACTGAAAAAGTTAGATTTAGTCAGCTATCGACTCTAGCAGTCCTAGCACGTGGCCCACTCCCGCGCTTTAGAGAGCTGTGTTGGAATGGTTCAATCTCTCGCTTCGGTCGTCGGATAAATGGCTGGCTAGACTATCTATATACACCAATCACATGCGATAAAACAACTACCCAAGAGACAAACGGTGTGTCCCAACAGATAGAGCCGATTGGCCAGATGGTTTCTCATCAAACGTTCCTCTCTAGACGGGTTAACCTGGTGAGTTAATTAATAGTTTGCTTAGACTTTGACTGCTCTTGGGAAGCTCCCAATTGTCGTTCCAGTCTTGGGTGTTTTAAAAAAAAAAAAAAAAAATAGAAAAAGAAAAAGAAACTAACTGGCTAACCGAGCGGTATGTAACTCAGTATCCCCCCGTCGACCGTAAATGTTGCTGCCAGACTTAGCGTGGTTTCAGTTGGTGTAAAAATATGAACAAGGAATTAGAATGGTTTGGCCAATAGAATACCCCTATATATTCTATATGGGTTTTTGGCTCATTCATACCCCATCTGGAACCTTATTTCTTCACCAACACAAAACACGTGTAGGGGGTTTAACCGTGTTCCCAGCTTCTCTACCAAGCTCTTTACCTAGCTAACCCATGGAATCCCTATCCATCTACCACCATCCAGACATGAAGTTCCTATCAGGAGAGGAAGCTGGTAAATCCCTAGTCTGTTCATAGAATGTATATTCATTTCACTGACTAGGTTCTAAAACCCCTCAAAAAACCTCCCCCCTGATCTTGATATCAAGAGTCCCTATGCTCTGTTCAGTCTATATATCTCAGAGAAAGACTTTCGAGCTATCTCCAATTCAACCAAGGCCTACGCCCAAATTCAAATGGAAAAGGAACCAGATAGACATGCTAGATACGGGAAATCAACTCCTGCTGCTGAGATCAAGGTCTTCTTTGGTATATTAATCTATATGAGAGTACATGATTCTCAGAGAATTGATCTCTATTGGAGGAATGATATTGAGCAAGGACCTATCCGTTCACCTCGATTCTATATGCCATGATATAGATTTGAGCAGCTTAAGAGGTATATTCATATATCTGACCCTCAGCAGTTCTCGAAAAGGAAAGGAATGATGGTATAAGTTTGAACCTTTGGTCTCTAGCTTTCCATATTGCTTGTAGGAGTTACTGTCAACCTTTCTTTGGATGGGATATGTGATTCGCATCTTTGGTAGAAGCCTACACACCTATGCGGGGGATTCAAATTCGATATCAATATCTACGGGGAATTCCAACTCCCCGAGTCCGAGTCAAACTAGCTATTCAACCCACTTGAGGAATCAATCAGCAAGGAAGTCCCATTCTGTTCAATCTATATGGACAACTACTTTACCTCTGTTCCTCTATTCAAGCACCTTCATGAGCAGGGCTATGGAGCCTGTGGAACTACTAGACTCAAAACAACTACCCCCAACTAGCTGAGCTGCGTGAGCATTCAACTTTCAAGAAGAATCTCTGGAATGCTCTATGCGCTGAACCTCAAGATGAAGTTCTTTGTCTCGGCTCGCAAGATAAATAATATGGTATTAGCTCTGACTACCATTCGTTCTCATGACTCTTTTGTTATTCGAGAGTGAAAATGGCCTGGAAAGACCTCTGCTCCTGAAGCTGAGGTTAGAAAAATCTTTGAAGATCTTCCAGTCAAGGAATTGCCAACTCCTATGATTATAGATGGTTATAATCATAATATGAATGGGATTGGCCTAGCAAATCAGTATAGGGAATCCTATGAGACTCAGAGAATTACATATCCCATATTATACTGCATCTTGGATACCGCAGTTATCAATATCTTTACATGAAGCTGCAAGGGGTCTCAGCTGGTCAGCTACTCAAGCATATAAGCTTTCAGGAGGAGCTCTATCAGCAACTCTTTGTCTTTGCCAGCTCAACCCATGATCTCCCATCTGAACGGCCGAATCCTTTACTGAATCACAAGCAATTTTCATTGCCAAAAGAGCCTTGTTTGTGTATGGTGTCAGTATAAAAGACTCGATGTTGGGAGGATATGAAGGGATGGAATCGCATATTACCTAACTAGGCTAGCTAGGAATAAGGTTCAATAAATTACCAATTACCAAATAATACCATATATTACCAATTCAAACCATTTATCTTAGGTAAAATATACACCAATGAAACCGCGCTAATTGACATTTACGGACGAGGGGATGCATGGGGCACGTGACAAACTTAGCTCGCTATTATCTTGACAAGGCGATTACACTAACTATAGTTACCAGTTTCAACAGACCAACGGGTATGACTAAGCATTAACCACATGATCTCCTAATACAGCCTTCTCATCGATTCAAACACGACAAACATTTCAAACCTTTCAAACCTTTCAAACTAATCGACATCGTCGATACCTTGGGAGCTCTTGGACTCCGACAAGACAAACCTAACTCCATCGACGCAGCCAGGAGATTCTTAAACATCCCCCCTTTGTAACGAATTTATACCTGCTCACTGCGCGCTGGCTGACCGCCTATCCCACCCATTTTTATCTATTGAACTAGCTGTGGACAGGGAGGCGCGCAATTGATCTCGATCGCAAGGTTGGAATTCTAGTTACCCAAACGTGCGCCTTGCAAAGTACGCAGGGCTTTGAGCTCTGATGCCTTTTTAAAGAGCTTGAAGCTTGAAGCTGAAGCTCAAGGCTTGCTTTGGGAGGTTTGAGAACGTGCAAACACTGTGCAATTTTCTTGTTGAGGTAGAGTTATTTTACACATCTCTTATTTTTTTTTTTTCTGTGTGTTGTCGTAGGGTGGCTAGTAGTGACTGACTGTTGTTATAGTTATCTAGAGATAAGCACTCAGTCCTGTTCAGCTGTAGATATATATTAAAATTTCTCTCACTTCGCCTCACTCTCTCACATCAAATTATATCACACCTACTACCTTCTCCTGTTTTGCAAAAAGACATCTCTCTTTCAAAAATGACATCAACTTCTCAGCAATCATCACAACATCAATCAAATCCTGATTTCTCCCACGGCCACCTCAACCACCACCACCACCACTACCTGGACCCAAACAACAATAATCCAGCCCACCATGTCTCAAACAGCGCCCAACAGCAGCAGCAGCAACAACAACAACAACAACAACAACAACAACACAATCTCGCCGCCGCTGCAAGTGCCGCCGCCGGCTACGCTGCAGACAACCACCTAGCTGGCCTTGTCGAGGCCGCCACAGCTGCTGCGGGACAAGATGGCGGCTGGGCGCAGAATGACGACGGGGATTCTGGCATGATGGGCCATGGACGTGTGTTGCAGAATCACCTGGATGGGTATCCCGGTGCTGCAACTGGCTCTGGGCATGGAGCGGGCGCTGGCATGCATCTGGATGATGGGTTTGTGGGCGATCCGACTGCGAATGGGCAGGTCCATTTTGGCGGGATTCCCGGAGCCGGAGCTGGTTCGGGGACGCTGGATGGGAATGGCGCGCCTGCTCATAATACGAGACGATTGCGCCATGGGAATGTGGGGAGGAGTCCGGTGCATCAACCCACTGCGGCGACGAAAAAAAGGAAACGCGCGGGGACGATTGCTAATGTGGACCCGGCGATGACTGGTGGCGCAACGGTGCAATATGGTAATGGCACTGCTGTCGCTGCTGCTGCTGCTGCTGCTGCTGCTGCTGGTGGCACTGCTAATGGTTCTGGCACGGATGGTCACGATGTCATTGTCGAGGATGGCAATTGTCTGGATATCCTAGAGTTGCCGCCGCAACACGCACTTTCTGATGCACGAGCGGCTGGTGTGCATTCCGCAGCGGCACTATTCCGTCAACCTTCCACGACAAGTAAGAAGTATACGCGCCCGCCCATATCGAAGATGTTTTCGTCGCTGGGACTGTCGCCAGAAAATTTCCTATATTTGCAGGCTGCTGCAAAGGCATATATGCTTGATGAGGCACATCCTGAACGGCGGGATTGTGTGGGTCAGAGGGGCAAAGGGGATACGGAGATGGTTAAGCTGCGTTTGTGGAATTGCGTGAGGGAGTTTTTGGACAAGGAGGGGAATGGGGAGAGGTTTTTTGGGGAGGGGGTTGGTATGGGTGTAGGGAGTGTTGGTGAGGGCGGTGGGATAGTGGATATGGGGGTGAAGTCGAGACCACCTCTCGTTTGGCCGAGGGATGAGCAAAGGATTATTTCATTGGTTATGCCGTTGTTGAGGAGGATGGTTACGAATGAGAGGCAGAGGCAGTATGCGATTGAGACGAGGAAAGGGGGTCCGGGCATGGGTGTAGTGGGTGAGGAGAAGAAGAAGAGGCACACCGGAGATTCGAGTATCGCGCCGGAACATGGATTCTCGTCACAGCAGTACCAGCATCAACATCAGCAGCATCCCCATGGTGGTTCGGAGATGGAGCTTGGATTGATGGATCTGTTGATGGAAGGTTATCCTACGGATTGGGATTCCATCGCCCGATCATACGATAGCTATAATACGGATTATCGATTGGATAATCTGGGTTCCATATCCGGGTTGCAGCAGGCAGATTGGTGGGGACTTGTTGCCGCTGTTGATTGCCATTATCAGATTGACCATTCGGGTAATGCCTCGGAGTGTGATGAGGCATGCGAGAATTGCACTATCAATCGGATAGTTTCTTCGGATAGTGTTTCGCAGGCTGGATGGAGGGTAGGGATGGGAGGGGGCGCAGTACAGACAGAGGATTTGGCGGCGCAGAATTATTTGTGAGTTCTATTTTTTTTTTTTTTTTTTTTTTTTTGTTGTCTTACATTGCGAAACGATATGAGGAGTATTAATACATCAATATCTTGCTAATCCCCTTATCCCAGTGCGACGGGAATAACTCGCGATGTATCGCATATCATCCGCGATACCCTCCTCAGCCAACATCAACATCATCAACAACCCGTGACACATTCAACACATTCAACAACAACATCAACCACCTCAGCTACAGGCACAAACACCGCCACCAGCCCCCAGCTTCCCGCCCACCAGATAACCATTCACATAAACACCACAAGTCCCAGCACCAAGCGAATCAAGCGCCTGATTCCCCGCCTCGATGTCTCCGCAGACCAATGTCCCGACTTAGCCAGCCTGTTGCAAAAAGTCCACCAGCATCATATGCAGTTCCAGCAACAGCATAACCATAACCACCAGCATGCACAGCAGGATACTGCTGCTATTATTGGGGAACCCGCGTTGCCTGTTAAGGTGTGGTTGGAGGAAGGACTGGTGGACGTACAGACGGATGCGGAGTGGATGGTTGCTTTGGCTAAAGTTAGTTCAGTAGATTGGATGGATGGAGAGTTAAGGGTTCTTGTTGGGGGGACTGGTGAAAGTGGAGGGTCAGGGTAGGAGGGAAATAGGAGGTTATCGTATATCATGAGCTGAAATGAAGTCTTATTGCAGATTGCTTTTCCGAGTTTTGCTTGTCTCCAATAGGACTGGTTCTTATCAGGTCACGCAGATCGTGTTGGCTGACTTTGTTGTCAAAGCACATAAGTTTTGATTCTTGTATTATTATTTTGATCGGGAAACCAAAAACGGAACCTTTCTCTCATATCCTTCTGCTTTTCCTTTCAAGCTTTCGTTTCTTCTCACGAGATTTGTCGTACGGTGCAATACGGGTGAGAGAAGCATACGAGAGAAGAGAATAAGGGGGCGTGAGCAAACAACCAAGCATTCCCCCAACCTGGAATGAATGAGGTGGATGGACCTATCCAGTTAAGAGTGGCATTCGCAAACTGAAGGAAGTATGTTAAATAGGGAGTTACTTTTGTTATTCTTCAGGTTTGCCTGCCAAGACATAGCCTCGCCTCCAATAGAGAAGACGTGGGCCCTACCCTGCTGGGCTATGATTGTATGCCTCATTATATTCATGAGTGTCTGCTATTCCAGTTTTGAGGCTGCTGTGAGAGTGGTAATAGGGTCACAGAAGATGTGAGAAAGAGGAACCGTTTCGACGAACATGAATTTCCTGTTTTCCAATGGTCTGCCAAGTGGAACATTTGACGAAGTGAATTCTATTTTTCATTGTAGAGAAAAAGCATCTGGAAAAGCAAGATACAGATATTCAAGGAGGAGAAAAAGGGTAGGTTGTCAAAGTTTTGGGGGGGGGGGGGGGGGCGTATGCCGTGATAAATCTGATTAGTTACCTATCTCAGACGCAGAACAAGGAGAGAAGTTCCGGGATAAGACGAGGAGCTCAAAAAAAGTGGTTCTATTTTCTCAAAATTCAAGAAGTCCAAGTAGTTGTATTTCTTGTGCCGGTCCGTCGAGTGGAATAGTTCGTTTCCTGATGCATGTACCCGGGTTGACCGACAGTAACATTGCTGAATGGCTGATATGAGCGGTTGATATGGAATAAATCAAGGCACTATAACAGGTATGGGGACTCTGCGATGGGCTCATTCATTTCTCGAATATTCAGGAGACCTTGATATACTAAACATAGGAATACAATGAACATGTAATATGTGGATGTCCAAGCGAACAAATATTACTTGGTGATAATTAACATCCCGTATCTAACTCTGCATGCAGACGCCCGACTGTAGCGGGTTTCAAACCATCTGGTCTGATTCGAGGTTGTTGAGTTCCAGGTCACAAGTGAGCGGGGGTCATATTCGATGAGAGCTTATTGGAAGAAATTCTGGAGTTGAAATTTCGCAGTTGTGCGGTGAAGTTATCTTGCAAACCACCTGGAGAGAATTCAACTGTTGTTTCTCCTTAGTTGCTCACCATCCTTTGATCTTGCGAATGACAACAAATATTAAAATGCTAATCGACCAGTTGAAATGAGCTCCGTCGAGTCTTGAACATGGCTCCCTTGGAATAGGTTGGCCGCCTCGAATTCTGTGACCTGCCGGACAAGCTCAACAAGGGGCTTTTGCTCTTCTCAGCTCTAACTGGATGGCAGCTGTCAGAACGTGGCGCTGCTCCATGGGAGGGAAAATTAGAGCCAGAAGAATCTCACTGGACCTCGACTGCGTCCACGGAAAGTTGACTTGTGCGAAGCTAAGGCTCAGTGAACGTATTTTAGCTGCGGTCGAAGCGCGCCAGGCTTATTCCAGAGTCAAGGTCGTTTACCTGCCGTGCCTGGAACGAATGGATGGGTCTGATGATGGCTTTCTCCAGATTTTCTAGGGATAGAGTGTCGACTGTCCCGATTTCCGAGAGGAGGGGATTTGTAGCCTTGTTTGCGTCATGTTCACATTCTCTAAAAGTTACCTCTCCGCCTCGTCTCCTCATCCCGGTCTTCATCCCGGTCAGCTCGGCTTCGGAATCGCTGTGATATCTTCTTGCGGCGGATTGGGATCTAACTTTTGATATTTCTTGATTGCTGGAGGTTTATGCCCACTTCATTTATACCCCGCGTCATTGACAGCTGCCAAGCGGGGTGGAATTGTATCATTACCTTAACTACCTGCCAGGTGACAACGGAGATCTATTTAAATTCCTGCAGAGTGGCACGTAAATATCCGCCAACATGACAAATATGGACATCTCTACAGTTGTGACTTCTATCCTGGCTGCCTTTGGCAATGGGAGGGATCTTTTCAAGAACATGCGAAAAAAGCAACAGCTGAAGCGACGAGGAACGGATAAAGCCAAACGAGATCAGAAAACCCACGGCTCTCAAAAGAAAAAACGAAGAAATACAAACAATGTCGAAGTTACTGTTCGAAACGAAGATATCGATGATGTTCGAATCGAGGAATCGCTGGAACGTGGCCCCGCTGAAATCAAGGGGGAGTATGAGAAGAGCGTGCGCCAGTTAGGTGAACGATTCAGAAAAGGAGATGGTATGCACCGTAGTTCCGTTCTCTGAAAATCTCAATATTTTCATCTTTTGATACTTCGGCAAAGCTGATACGCCAACATCAATCTTGACCAGAACTCGCCCAAGGATCTCTTGCGCATACGCTTTTAGTACTAAATGCCGGTTTAATGAAACTCATAGCATCATGTTTATCCAACGATGCACCGGGACGCATCAGTGGAGGAGCTGTCGATCGACGTTCCCTACTTACCCTCTCTGATTCCGCTGCAGTAGATGCAATACGTGCTCTTGACGAGCTTCGACAACGCCTTTTAAATTCATCCACACCAGCACCAAATTCAGTGTTGACACCCTTGACTCAGAAGGGCAGACAACGGAGCAGATCAGTGTCGCGACAGAGATGGAATACGGTACTAGAGAAGAAATCTGGTGATAAAAATCGATCTCAAAGCGCGACAAGGTCAGTAGCAGGGGCACGAGGCCAGGAGATTATTGGTGGAACATCGCCGAAACCACCAACAAAAGCGGAGACTAGCAACCAAACTTTCAGGGGCATGTGGGTTCGGTCAAAAAAAGGCTCCTCGATATCCCTAGCGACAACAGCAGTTATAAGCCAGCACCCAGCTCAGCAAGCTCCGAAGAAGCTGACAAACAAGATAAAACAATGCGAGATGGAGCATAACCAAGGCCACCCGGCTTTTGTCCACCTCCAGCAGCCTGCGCAACAGCCAAATGCTGACCTAGCCTTCCGACAATATGGAAGGTCAGAGCCCAGGGGACCAGCACCGCCCATTCGCCCAACAATGTTACACTGTAGAAAGACACTAGGATCTACTGTTTCAGGGGTGCTCCAGAAGGAGATGCAGCCACTCTCGCCGCTGGTCCCCTTATCACAGAATCTGCAGCTGCCACATGGGAGAACAGCGACCAGAGCAGGTCCAGTAGTCTCATCCTCGTCATCCATATCATCTGGAAGCACGAAACTGGGTGAAATACCGAATCGCAGGCAGCTTGCGCAGCCCACGTCTCTTTCGCAGCCACAAAATTCCCGGACGATCGGACCAGTTGTTGAAGTTGGATATCAACGGCCTAGAGTTGCGCTTACTGCCGGAGTGAATTACTGGAGGAAGTTGGCAGCCGATGCTAATGCTCGGGAAGGGAGTAATGCTCGAAGATGAAATTGAGACGATCTGCGGAGATTCATATCTTGGAAAACGCGATTCTCCCTCCGTCAGGTTTCTTGTTTTTCTGTTTTTTTTGTTTTAGTTTCTTGGTTTGATTGATCAAATGACTGATTGATTGATTGATTAACTTAAGTTGATGTCTGCATCCTCTACGGGAGCTCTGCAACTGATCAACTTGTCTAAATAGATATATATTAGATGGGGTCTTCAGGGGCTCATCTCTTTACTTATTAAACACTTTTTCATAAAGTTCTACTTAAAAAAACAAACAAATATATACATATCTACATTAAAAGGTAAAATTATATACCTGATAATATCTGTTTAGAAGATATAGAGTAAGAGAATGTGATATTTTTCAAATTTTTAGATGTAGAAATATTTTTATACATTGAAGCTGAGATCTAACTGTAATATAAAAAGATACTGTCATGGGATCTTGTTAAGGTGCTTTCTTGACACCGCTGCCTCCTCTCAGGGATAATCCTACTTCCCCACCTTTATATGAGATGGACGTATCATAGATCATTGCTGCAGAAGGCCATGAGAATCACATCATCAATGATGTCTAGAAGTCGCCCTTACCCACCCCAATCAAGTAGGACGGCATCTCATCACATTCACTCAAGAATGAGAGCTTGATAGAAGCTCTATATAAATAGCGGTTATGACTTCAATCTAGGCGCAGATAAACGGGTGTTTGATTGCCAACTAGGTAAGCTATCTCAATGAATACTAATGTGATTTACGAAACGGGGGGAAGAATCTCCTTATATACTCCTTTCCACTAGCGGTTGCTATGCCGTTGCTAGGCAGTCCCCGTAGGGCCGTTGCTAGACCGTTGCTACGGCAGCCTATAGTGACATTTGGGTCAAATGGGTTTTTTTGTGTTTTTCCACTGTAATTACTTAATTCCACTTATAGACACTCACCAATAGAGATTTATATGAGGATTTGTCTGTTGCAGAAACATCTCATTTCATTCTGATTAAGCTAAGAAAAAAATCAAATCAAAAAAACAATCAAAAAACAATCATTTTCCTGGATATCATCAAAAAATCAAAATGAAAAATCAAAAAAAGTGAAAAAAGTGAAAACTACTAATAACCATTTCCACGTCCTGGGATGCGACTGCCTGTCATGATTTGTCGCAACCTCTGCACCAATTTCATATCCCTTTCCTGGATGGTAACACGTTTGGCATGGATGGCGCATAGATTTGTCACTAACATCTCATTGATTAGTATAATGATTAGTAGATTAGCTTGTAAAATCCAGTCATTTCTTGTGAATTCATCAATCAAAACCGCCTCTGCAGCCTCCTGCAAAGCCAGAATTGCAGATGCTTGAAATCGAAGATCACCATATATATCTGCTGCAATTTCACGGACAAGACGCTGGAATGGGAGCTTGTGAATAAGAAGCTCAACATCACGCTGATAACGGCGGATTTCACGGAGAGCAGTGGCTAAAATAATTAAATTAGATATTCAAATTCAAAAAATCTATGAATATACTTTTACTTACTGCCAGCTTTTCGACGATAGCGACGTCGAGGTTTCACATGAGCCACATGCTGTCCTGGAGGATGCTTTCCCCCCTTTCTTGCCTTGCTGGCTATATTTTTTTTTGCCCCTCTCTGTTGAACACATTTTCTTGCAGTCATTTTGGTACGAGCCATTTTTGCGTGGATTTGATGATTCTAGCTGCTTATTTACTGATTAGTATAATAACTAGTATAAAAATGAACTGTAGCTCACTTACATTGCTGAAACAAGAAGATAATTTAAAAAATTTCTGCAGGGGGGGGGGGGGGGGGGGGGGAGGCGTGTAGAATGAGATGGATGAAAAGATTAAAAGATTGGAAAAGAAAAAGAGCAAAAAGATAAGATCTTTGAAGTGAGAGTGCGGTTATGTGTGCAGTTATGTGCAGTTGATGAATAACACAACAACACAAGCACGCTCAAATAGGCAATCAAGTGAACACAACAACACATCACAAAGAATATCAACATTGATTTTCAATTCTTTCAAATCTTCTTTCTCCTGTCTCACTACTTCTGCTCTGCTGCCTGCCTGCCTTTTTATTCTATCAATCATTGTATCAATCAACTATTTCCTGCGCCAGATTCTTTGTTTCCCACTTCCAAGATCAGTTTTTTTCTCATCCTATCAAAATGACACGCCGCGGACCAAAGCCTGGAGCCACAGCTGGCCAGAAACGAAAAGCTGAAGAAGAAATGTCGATTAACCCTCACACAAAAAGAGCAATGAAACGAAGGGAAAAAATGAATGAGGAGGAGGCCACTATTGAACGGGCGAAGAATGCAGATCGTGCAGCAGTAAATTATCATATTCGACAGCTGAAAAATACCGATGCATTCAGAGAGGCAAATACTGAGGATCAAAAGAAGATGATTGAGGATAAAAGAACAGAGATCATGAATAAAAGGTAGTTAACAAATCTTGAAATCTTGTTAATATAAATATTAATAGAATATAGACTTAGCACCGGGATTACAGCATCGATGCTGGAGCAGAGACAGGAAGATATCTCAAAACCAAGTGAAAAGTAAGTTCTATATTCTACTAATCATTATATTAATCATTCTAATGATTTATCACAGGCTTGCCGCATGGAATCATTTGTTAGATTCTGAGGACACCATGCAAGAAGTGAAATGGCGGCTGGAAGATGAAAAACGGTTTGGTAAAGAAAATATGCCAACTGAGGAAGATTCCCGGGCTGCGTATGAGGAAGGGGTGAAACTGATGAAAAAAGGAGGAAGTCTTGCTGCTGTTTTATACAAGCAGTGGATTCTCTCATGGAAAGATATCAGCAATTCTCTTTTTCAAAAATTCCGACATCATTCTTTCAACAATACTGCCAGTCATCATCGATTTTTAAAAAAAATTTCAAATCAGGAGCTTTCTGTTTTGAAAATGCTGCTTTGTGCAGAACAAATTGACTCAAATTTGGCAAAGAGATGGTGGAGTGAGCAAAAGACTGAAGATTCAGAAAAGGATATTGATGCTCGTAAACAGGCTCATAGAGCCTTGAAAGAGGAAATGACTCCAGAGGAATTTATGCAAATGAGATGGAGCCCGGATGAGTGCATGCTTTTTAAGTCTGAAAGTTGATTTTTTTTTTTTTTGTTTTTATGATTATAGCAATCATTCTACTAATCTGTTTTTTGTTGAAAATTTTTTTTATATTAAAGCAAGCTAACTTAGTTAGTTTAGTACATTATCTGTTTGTTTTGATTTTCTTATTTACTTTTTTTATGATGTTATAATATTATCAATTTTTCATTCATTCATTCTTTCTTTCTTTCTTTCTTTATTTCTTTATTTTAGAATGATGAATACTTTTTCTTTCACTTTCTTTTAAAATGCCTCCATCTGGTTATTCATATCTTCTTTCTCACAAAGATCTTATTATTAATCTTCATCAACACAATCTAACTCAACAAGATATTATCTCTCAATTGAAACGAGATCATAATCTTGAAGTTAGTCGATCAACTCTTGTTCGTTGTCTTCGAAAATGGAATGTTAGAAAAACCAAGAAATGGGAAGCTGATGAATCAATTCACAATCTTATTCAAGAATTGTTTTCACGAGGCTTGCAGGATGCTGATATTCTATCAGTTATTCAACAAAAGCATCCTGAGTCTCAACTCTCTATACGTGAGCTTCGTCAAATTCGGCAGCAATTGAAACTTCATCAGCGAAGAGATGACTATGAGAGTGATGAGATGCAGAAAGAGCTTATATCTACTGTACAGAAAGAGCTTGACAGTGGATTTATTCAGGGTTTTGGAAGAGGACATCTGTACACCCATTTTAGGCAGCAGGGGCATAGCATTTCACGGTATGTTTTGATTAATATAATGATTAGTATAATACTAATAAAATCAGAGATCGTCTATTCAAAACAGTTCGGCTTCTCGATCCAGATGGAATTACACGTCGGCTAAATGATCTCCAACGTCACCGAGGATCCTACATTGTTCCCGGACCAAATTATCTTTGGTCTATTGATGGTTATTGCAAGCTTCAACATTGGGGAATCGAAATCTATGCAGCAATTGATGCATATTCTCGATATATAGTGTGGATATATATTGGAATCACAAACCGTACTGCTGTTTCTGTTCTTCGACAATTTCTTGATGTTCTACAAGCAACCGATACTTTTCCTCAGGTTATTCGTTCAGATAGAGGAACCGAAACTTCAATGATTGCAGCTGCACAACTCAAACTACATCAAGCAACTGATTCAAATACTTCTTTGAATGAGTGCTATCGATTTGGAACAAGTACACTAAATCAACGAATTGAATCTTGGTGGGGACAACTTGCAAAACAGTTGGCAAATTACTGGAGAGTATGAAATTCCATATTCTTTCTACTAATTATTATACTAATCTTTATGCTAATCTTCTCTCAGCGCTATTTTCTGAATCTCAGTCATACAGGTCTATATCACACCAATAAATTATCTGATCGTATTGCCTTTCTCGCTGTATATATGTTAAGCCAGATGTATCACAGATGTAATTAGATTGAATATGAATAAGTATTCTACTAAGTATTCTACTAAGTATTCTACTAATATTCTCAAGAATATACTTTTTAAGTTTGTTACTATAACAATTATTCTATAAATTTTATATTGTAGTGCTACATGAATTTTGAACTAGATATATATATATATATATATACAATGTATGTACACCGGACACACAGAATATATGTATTCATATACTCAAACACTCTATAACTTGAAAATTATAATCATATATAGTTATATATTCCAATCTAAAGTTATTGACAGTATTAAAATATATATCAATAAACAATTTTCTTAATTGATACAGAAATATTCTGTAGTGTGTACACTGTAACTAACTCTTTGAAGATATTTTATAATATTACTCATCATGTCTAACACTCCCAAAGCAGTTAGCTATTATACTAATCATTATACTAATCAGGTTACCGAAATCCACACACACACACACACACACAATCTCTCACTCTCTTACCCTCAAAAACAGATATATATATACACACACTCAAATTTTCCTGTTCTTCTCTTTGTTGTTTATTATCATCTTGATTTACTTCACTATGTGGACACCATTCTGCCCCAATTGTCCTGGATTTTCTCATGAAGCACACTGTAATAGTGAAGCTGCCTGTCCTTATTGTGGCAAAGCCAATCCATCCACACCAAAATCCTCCATCATCTCTTCAATAAATGATGAAATCATTGTCATTGAAGATAGTCCCAGTCCTCCAGCTCTGACACCGTCACTCTCTGCCACAATTCTTGATCCTGGACCTCCTCAACGAGCACGTCAACTGGCCATTCAAAAAACACAAAAAGTTTAACAAATGACCCCCAATGCTGGTACACCAGTTCAACGTACATCACCTATAAAAGAACCTGCGATCAAACCTGAGCTGAATCAACTATCCTCCTTGCAAAAATCCTACAAAATTCTTATTCATATTTGGAAGTGTGAATACAATGATGCCAAACTACAAACACACTATAACTGGGAGTCAATTCGAAAAATTCAAAATGAAATCTACTCAGATTGTGTGTTTTTCACAATGGAGGATTTTCTAGAAATCATCACTGCCAGACTTGATACAGCCTGGAAGAATATTCTTACAGTTGTTTCTCCAGTTGATGTATTCATTTCTGCCTCAGTTACAGGAAAGGATGGTGCAGTTATGCTCACTCCTGATGTTTGGATGTTGGATTTGGAAAAGTTATTGAGTTCATTTAAGAAAGTGCACTCATCAACCTCAACAACTACAATTATTCACATTTGTCTTGTTACCTATGATGAGTCCAATCACCCCATCGAACAACTGTCGGAACCAAAGAATATCAAAGTCAAATCACCAGATATCAAAGTCAAAGAAGAGAATACCTCCGTATCAGTGATCAAACGCGAACGTGCTTTCTCAGTTGATTTACCCATTCTAAATCTTATCCAACGAAGACGGCCGTCCCCAATCCCTACAAAATCTGAAGACAAAGTTAATGAATTGAAGACAATGAAGCTTGAAAAGGATCTATTGTTCAAGTGGGAGAAGCTGGAATCAGAGACAGAGGAGGAAAATATAAAGAAGGAGATGGAAAACACTGTGACAGAGATGGAAAAGAGTCATTCTGATGAAATTGAAACACAATCAAACTATCTTGACCCACCTGCAAATGGGACAAGATTTCGGCATCAGCGTCGAGAGTGATTGATAGAATGATTGATAGATTCTTTTGACCTCAGAGTTGAGGGTGATTAGTAGAATGTTTGATAGATTTTAGTATGCGCTGTAAAGATTGATACTAATGTGAAGAATTATTTTGCTAGCTATTATTCTCATAATAAGTCTTATTTCTCACAGATCTATTCTTGCCCCTATTCTTACCCCTATTCTTACCCCTATTCTCACCCCTATTCTTGTCACTCATGTAATCAATAGAGTTAGTGTGCCTTGATCACAAAATTTTCTTACACAGAGGAGCTATAATCAACAAGCTCTATTTGATTACAAATTAAATGAATATGATTGGTGCGTGTTCATGGTAACACTAGTATAAAAACCATCAAAAAAACCCATTTGACCCAAATGTCACTATAGGCTGCCGTAGTTGCTCTTCGGACGATGCCAGTCTCCGTAGCCAGTAGCCATACGCCGTCATAGCGCAAGTAGCCAGGCGCCGTCACATTAGCTTTTTTATTAGTTATTATTTTTACAAATTATAAATATTTATATTATATATTCTATAATTTATAAATAATAAAATAAATCTTTATAAGTAACTTTTAATAACTATTTATTTATTAATATATATATATTATAGTGTTAAATTTATAGTGGTAAATTTTCTTAAGCTTTAAGTTAATGATACAAGATATAGTTAGAAAATATCTCTTCAGCTTCAGCATTTCTAGTTATAACTGTGCATGACATTAGTACTGAAATTATTATATCATAAATTCTTCTTATCAAATTACAACATACTAAAGTAGATAGTGATAAAATAGCAGTATATAATATTAATATAAATATATATAAGTTAAACACATTTACCAGAAATAGATAAAGTGAATTAGTTAAGAAATTATAACAGAACAGATATCATGATAGTTGAAAGATTCACCATTATATGGAAATAAAATGCAACGTGTATATGGATTCAAAAAGAAACAACAAAGGCCAACATCAAGCTCATGATGAATATAAATATATATATATATATATATATATATATATAAATTAGTAAAAAGAAAATCAGAATCATCGCGAATTCTCCATTCTCCATTTGCTGCCCACTGATCCTTTCTCTTCACCGTGTAAATAAGCCTCTTAAATAGCCACGCCTTCCTTCAAAGCACCAGTCAGCCAATAAAATCTATTTCGCCTTCGTCGAAAACTGCCCAGCTCAGTTTTTCGAGATCGTCGTCGACATCGTCGCCGCCGCCGCCCGCCTCCTCTCCGTGCTGGATCATTCTCCTTGGAACCCCCACAATTTCCATTGCCATCGGTGGTATTGGGGCTTGTTGCAGTTTTGGTAGTGTTTTTACGGGAGTTTTCCCTCATAATTGTCATCGTATAATCACTTCTGTCACATGCTATCGTTCCCGGCCTCTTCTCCTTGATTCGATGTATGGATGATGTGCCTCGTCTAATGGTTCGCTTTCCTGTGGGTATCCTTCTCCGTCTTCTGGTTGGGGCTGGCTTCGTTGCCGTTGCATCAGTGGATGGCCCATTCCATGGATTGCAAAAACAACATTGATACGAGACTGGGAAATCTGAAGCTGTGTCATTGTATGGACATTGTGCACTGCATTCGCAACTTTCATCCTCCACACGGACGGGGACAGAGCGGTGTCTACAGGAATATATGACTGTGGACCAGCGGCACATCGTTCAATGGTGTTGGCCTAACGGTGTCTATCTAGCAAGGACGGTGGAAAATCGCGTTGTGTACGGTGGTGAGATGAATTTCTTCAGCTACCTATACGTTATATGTAAGCCGACTCGGGGTCAAATATCGCAAAAATGAAGCTGCAGAGCTTGTTGGTGAGAATGTTTCGTAGGGAAGAACCCGTCAGGAAGATAAGATCCGCAAGAAAGATGTAAATGCTGGTAGAGGTCAGCTTTGTAAGTTAATAAGAATAACAAACGAAGCTCGAATGAACAACGCAGAGAGCCATTTGAGGCAGTTTCAAAAAGTTTAGAGGTATCGAATAGAACAAGGAGCGGAGAGCTTAACCATTAGCTCTTTCAAGAGTAACAAGGACAATGAAAGGCATACCCGCCTCTAGTAATGGACAGCTCCGCACCAGAGTCATCTTAGTTAATGAGACTGCAGATGAAAATAGAAACAGATCCACAGCATAAGCAGTTTTGCGGTGGTAGGATAAGTACCGTCACATTTAAGAATAGAACAAATCATGAAGTCAGCATCTCCTTTTTCTTTTTGTCCTTTAACGGGGGATACGTTTCTGACGTTTGGTCATTGTAGAATACGGCATGGGTAGATAATACAACGATAGAGTTTGTGCTGAGTCCTTTGAGAAAAGAAAGCTGTGTGACAAATCTGCTAGTTCTGATAGAATAACTGTCTCATATACAGTTGAACAGCAGGTGGTATAAGAACTGGTCAAGGTTATACAAACCCATTATTGCAATACTCTGAATGCATGGAGACAGTAACCTGGAGGCAACAGAAAACAATAGGAGATTTTTGAGAATGGAGAAGCAGTGGGGATAGAATATATATACTGCTCATCCATTTCCCTGTTAGATAGCCATCCACACCCCTATCCACCTGAGAGACCTGGAGCACGAGAAAACCGGTTTTTCTTGGCTTGGTAACAAAGCATCAAGTTTTGAATCTTTGCATGGGTGGAGGGGCATTCTTGAATGATATGTGGATGGCCTTCTTTGGCATGTTGTGAAACAGCTTCACCTTCTCCTGAAGAAGTTCCACCCAAGAATGTTTCCCTCGTCGTGTTTGTCACAAGACTGGGAGGTTAAACGGGGATTCGTAGGGAGCTGACTTAGGCGCAGCAGTCTAGGCGCGGTAGACGACCCCATGTCCCAAGGTTCCAAAGGCAAAATGAGTGAGCCCGTAGGCTCCAATTCCCCTCATCTCATTGAAACGTTTATTTGAGTCTGAGATTTTCACCCAGCAGTATAAGGTGGCGCGACTATATCTGATGGTGAAACGGTCCCTACGTTGATCGATCTTCGATCGATTAGACGTGATAAGGGTTCTCATGACCTGATGGGCGGAGCCGTTTGCCTCATGTAAAATTGATATATTGGAGCACGGTATATGGGTTAAGCGTACGCGAGGGTTCAGAGAATTGGAGGAAAAAGGCAAGCATTTGAGAGAAACTTTGAAGTGACACATGAGAGAAACGACTTAAGAATTCTACCAAAAACCATCTAAATACCATTAGATCTTTTCAGCGTCTTCCTTCATTCCCTTCTTAACCCTTCTGGCCATCATCTGCATATAACAAAGATCTAATATCAAATCTTCAACTTCTCCAGATCCCTAATATGCTCTTCAAGCCTCGCTGCCTCACTCTCCGCATCCTTCAATTTCTTCTCCTCCAACTCCCTAACTTCCGGCTTAACTTTCTCCTTCCATCCTGCTGAACACATAATCCCCAACTGCCGCTTAACAACCTCCTGCGCCTTGGCAAGATTCATTTTAGCTTTCTCTTCCTGCTCCAGGCGCACTTCGTCGGAGACCGGGAGGTAGACGGCGGCCTGCGCGCTCACCACAGAGAGCACGCAGCCGGGAGGGGAAGTCTTATTCTCCGGATCAAGAACAGTGATGTCTCCAACGTATTTACCGCCCAGGGATTTGATGAGATGAACTTCACCCGAGACGGTCCTAAAACTTGTCGAGTCATAGGTCTGGATCTTGATGTCGCTCTTGGTCTTGATTTCGTACTCGGAAAAGATACTGCGTATGGTCTTGGATGTGGCCAGGATAAGTTCATAGGCAGTTTCGGCTGCTACGTCATCGAATGCTTGGTTATATTCGGGGTACGCCGCTTTCATGATTGACGATGTCTTGTCACCGGGGCGGCGAGGCAGGCGCTGCCAGAGCTCCTCAGTGATGAAGGGCATGGTGGGATGTATCAAGGTCAATGCGCCCTCAAGAGCAGTGTACAGAGTCTCCTTAGCCGATTGTTGGACTTCAGCGGGGACATCAGGTTGGAGAAGGGATTTAGAGTTCTCGATGAAGACGTCGCAAAGCTGGCTGTACCAGTATTGGTATAGGGTTGATGCCGCAACAGAGAAATCCCGGCTTTCTAGACTCTCGTTGGCGACTTTTGCGGCTTTGTTGAATTTGTGCAGGATCCAACGCTCTGAAAGAGACTCTTTACCCGTCTTGGTGGGGCTGGCTTGGGGTTTGAAATCATCTCCAAGTTTGCCGAGGACATATCTTGTTGCTTGGTAGATCTTGTTGCAGAACCTACGGTAGCCGTGGATTACCTGGATATCAAAATTGATATCGCCACCTTAGGAATAAAGAAAAACGTTAGGTTATTCTTTTGACTCTTCACGTGTAGAAACTAAACTTACCACCGGTTGTATAGGTGACAAGAGCAAACCGCAGAGCATCAGTGCCACATTCTGGAATCCCCTTGGGGAATGCCTTTTTCTGGTATTTAGTGGCCATGGCAATCTCTTTCTCGGCCAGATTGCCGTGCTTCAGTTTCTTATGCAGGTCCTGCAATTTAATGCCCTCGATAACATCGATGGGGTTAATCACGTTGCCCAGTGACTTCGACATTTTTCTCCCTTCAGAGTCTCGAATTAAAGAGTGGCAGTAAACTTCGGTGAAAGGGACCTTGCCCGTCATTTTGATTCCAAGCATAATCATCCTGGCAACCCAGAAGAAGAGAATATCCCAACCAGTCTCCAACACGGAGGTCGGGTAGAGCTTTTCAAAGTCAGGGGTGTTCTTCGGCCAACCCAAAGTGGAAAATGGCCAAAGTCCAGAGGAGAACCACGTATCTAGCACATCAGGGTCTCTCTTAAGAGTGAACTTCTTCCCAGGGAATTTCGCTTCCGCTTTCTTTTGAGCTTCAGCTTCAGTGCGACCAACCACCCATAGATTGCCATCACTGTCATCACCGTGCTCTCCCTCAATCTGAACGAAGTAAGCGGGAGCTTGATGACCCCACCAGAGCTGCCGGGACAGACACCAGTCATTAATATTGTTCATCCAGCGGAAATAACTCTTCTCAGCAGTCTCAGGGCGGATTATTATTTCACCGTTCTCGACAGCTTTAATTGCTGGCTCAGCAAGGTCCTTCATGCTCATCCACCATTGCGGCTTCAAAATTGGCTCAATGACATCGTTCGATTTGGTGCAAATGGGCACCTTCATTGGATTGTTCTCCCATTTGACATATAGACCCTTCTCCTTCAATGCTTCAATGACTTGGTACCGTGCGTCAAACCGCTTCACGCCTGCAAAGGGACCAGCATTGGCATTGAAAGTACCATCATCATTCATAATAGAAATGAATTCCAGGTTGTTATCTTTTCCGCGGATGAAATCGTTGAAGTCATGTGCTGGTGTAATTTTGACAGCGCCAGTACCGAATTCAGGATCAACTTTGTTATCAGCAAAAATTGGGAGCAATCTATCCATGAATGGATGTCTAGCAAATTTGCCAATGTATTTCTGATATCGTTTGTCATCAGGATGGACTGCGATACCAGTATCACCAAGCATGGTCTCTGGTCGTGTGGTTGCAACCTGGATGGATTCATCCGTGCCATCAATCGGATACAAGAAATGGGTCAAGACGCCAAACTCGACCTTCCTCTGGTATCCTGGCACTTCAAGTAGTGTTCGGCCTTCGAGGTCCTTATTTTCAACCTCAAGGTTTGACAGCGAGGTATTCAAAGCCACGCACCAGTTGACGAGACGGTTTTCGCGGTATATGATCCCCTCTTCATGGAGTCGAACGAACGTTTCCGTCACCGCAGCCGAAAGATTCTCATCCATTGTGAAGGCTTCTCTAGTCCAATCAAAAGAACCCCCCAACCTCTTCAAGGTGGTGGTAATACTATCATGGTATTTATGCGTCCAGTCCCAGATCATATTCGTCATAACCTCTCTACCAACATCATGGCGAGACTTTCCTTCAGTCTTCCACAGAATCTTTTCCACGACACTTTGTGTCGATATCCCTGCATGATCGTAACCTGGAAGCCATAATACTGTTTTTCCTTTCATTCTTTGCCAGCGGATCATGGTATCTTGAAGTGCATTGGTCAAACCGTGGCCCATATGTAGGTCCCCCGTAACATTGGGAGGCGGAATGGGAATGACGAATTTCCCCTTTTCCTTGACATTCCCATCTGGTTCAAATTCAGGTTTGAAGAACCCCTGCTTCTCCCACCATTCATATTTCCCAGCCTCAATGGTTGGAGGATCATAGGCGTCAGCATTCTTTTCCTTCTCGACTTTGGGGACTTTCTTTTCGGAATTTTTGGGCGCAGCAGGTGCAGCAGCAGATCCGCTTTTAGCCTTCTTTTCAGCGAATTTCTTCATTTTATCTGCCTTCTTCCGCTCCTTCTCATCTGCATATCAGAAATATAAGTTAACCAATTTCTCCACTCGACAATCAATAATGGGAGATACCCGTAAAAGAGCAATGATCCCAACCAGCTGTCGCGAATTGTATGCCCAAGACATTTCGTTCTAATATTAAAAGGAAGACCTACAATCTCTCTCTGATTTCTCTTTTTGACCCTGCTGAGCCCCAATCGCGACATTATTCACAGCCTCATTCTCCGTTGGAAGGGTTGTGGTTGTTGCTTGCTCCGGAGCTAAAAGCAACCAAATGCCAAGACAATCAGTATTGCGAAATCAGGACGAAGAAGGACAACACCGTTTCGTATTGCGCACATACCAGGAGGCTGCTGTGCCTTATTGGACGCCATACTAAATGATATTGATCTTGGTCTTGTTGGAGCAATTACCCATCGCGCAAAGCGCGTAGTTACTAATCGTCGGAGTAGTATGTTGGAGCTGCAGGAGGGGAAGATCGGGAGGAATTGAGGGTGATGCACAATTCGGCTATCTCAAGAAAGGGATAAAATTTTTCGTGATAGAGTGATTAATAAGAACAGTCAGCGTGAATGTGGAGGGATTATATGCGGTTGTAACTCATGCTGAAAGTTTTCGGATCGAGATTGAATTCTTTTTTGGGTTCGTGATGAGTCAAACTCTACGTCACGTGTCACTATCTCAGGGCAGGACCCCCATTTTTTTTTTTTTTTTTGGGGGGGGGGGGGGAGGAAGGCTACAGGTGTAAGTAGTTGTATTGCTTCTCTAGCTACACATGGTACATTGAAATTAGAAAAAAAGGTAAGAAAAAAAAAAGGGGGAAAAAGACATTTCAAAAACCCTGCGCTATACCTGACCATAAAAAAAGGAGAGCGACATAAGAAATGAAGAAAATGCAGAAATAACAGGTTTCATAAGCAATTTTTCGTTATGTATGTGTTGAATGGCCATGCAGCAAGGAAAAGCTCACAAGTAACGTCGCGAGGCGCCATGAACCCGTCCTTCATTATCCGTTTCCATGCTGAGGATTGAGCCGTAGGGAGAAGTAAAACTGGGATCGGTGACAGGGGTTAGGGACTTATGAAAACGGATGATTGAGAAAATGTTGAAAAAGGAGTAACCTGGGGAGGTGGTGCATAAACAAGGCATCAAGGCATGCGGGACATTGGATAGGAAGATGAGATGGGTCAGGAGTGAGAAGCTGTTCCGCTGTTCTGGAGTGATTGGGCAGCAGCAGCGCGAACAGGGGCGAAATAGGGATGAGCCATTGCTTCTTGGGCGGTAAGACGGTCCTGGGAGGCCAAATTAGCTAACAGTAAAATTGAGGGGACTTAAACCATATATAAACGGAAAAGATTAACGTACGGCATGGTCATATCTGAGCAATTTATCTAAGAAATCTATGGCCTCGTTGCTGACGAATCTTTGGTTCTCGGCGTTGATAAACGAATGCCAGCTTTTCTTGGAGAAGTTTGAAAGGATTTCGTCGTACTGCGGGTCCAGCTCTATATCGTATTTCTCGAGGTATTCATATAGCTCATCGGTACCCAACACCTTGGCGATTTTAACCAGTTGGTCCGAGTTGCTGTTGCCATGGAAAAATGGCTCTTTTCGGAATATCATCGACGCAAACATGGCCCCTAGTGACCACATGTCAAGAGAATAGTCGTATTCCTGGAAGTCTACGAGGAGTTCTGGTCCCTTGAAGTACCGCGACGCGACACGGACATTGTACTCCATTCCCTGGTGATAGAATTCGGCCAAACCCCAATCAATGAGTCGCAGCTGCAGGTGAAAAGGAGAATGGTCAGCATATAGTTTCATGGGGTTTGGGGGGAGTAGGAGGAACAAGGCGTACTTTTCGTCGTTCATGATCTATCATGACATTGTGGGGTTTCACATCGCGATGCATTATTCCTTTGCTGTGGCAGAAGTCCAAGGCCTTCAGAAGCTCGAAAATGTAGTATCTTACATCATAGTCGACGAATCGAGGGTATAGTGTTCGGAAGTCGGTGTTATTTACGTATTCGAAAACCAAGCTGGGGGTTTTGCTCTGACTGTCGCGGACGACATCCAACAGAGCAACCACATTGGGACCGCCGGAGAGATTTTGTAAGATCTTGATCTCTCTTTTGATTTTCTTCTTCTTTACTGGCTTCAACACCTTGATAACACATTTCTGGTAGTTAACCACATTTATCCCTTCGAAAACCTCCGAATATTTCCCCCGCCCTGTTCAGTGAAGCAACACAAGAAGCATTAGCAATTTACAATCTCTCCGTTTGTTTCAAAATCTAAATACCCTCAAATGTGACTTCTCATCGACTCTGTCCGAGGGGGAATGTTTGCGTGTCATCCTGCTGGGGCTGAACACATACCGATTTTCCTCACAACCTCATAGTTCTCCAACACGCCCCAGGATATGTTGACACTGTCATAATCCCAATACGACTTGGGCATCTGCTGATTGACATCCGCATACACTCGCGCCATGATGTCGGGTGGCCGATTCTGGCTTCTCCCAAAGAACGCGGCCCACAGATGGATTTTTTTGCGAAGCGGGAAGGAAAGGGAAACAAAACAAAAGGGATGAAGGGTACGAATGCAAAGGCGGCGAACGCGCCGTCGCCCGACGCCGTAGCTGAGGGAGAGCCAAGCGTCAAGCAGGAGGGTGGTATGGTTGATATACTTCACGGGAGGCAAGAAGTGGCTGTTCGCACCGAACGTGATATGCAAAACTAAATAAATCTGACCCAGGTGCGACAACCACCACCTCTCGCAAGTCGCAAGTCACATGTTTTTGGCCATGGAAAACCCCGCGAAAAAAGGCTAATGCAACGACCCAGATAACTAGCACTAGAATGGACTAGCGCCATTTTGTTCGGATCAAACATTGGGCGATGATTATGTAATGTTGTGTTGGGAGAGCCGATTGGGCCAGAAAAGTTTTGGATGAGTTAGTTAGCGATCGTCCCAAAGATTATTATTATTATTATTATTATTATTGTTTTTTTTGAAGCCCTCAAGTTAACTAACTAGCCAAACTTGTTACTTGACATTTATTTTGTCCTCAATGTCAAGGCTGAAGTTGATGGTATTTTAAAGATATAACTAATCCATGCCACGTCCAATAATCCATGAATACATTGCGATAACAAGGAGAAGGGTAGGCTGGATGGCCCAGCACTGCCATCATGTTCTATGATCTTAATGTCCCGTACACGCAGCCCAACGACCCTGAAATCGCCAACACCCTCGCCTTTCTCTCTGAACGTAAGTCAAACCATAGGAGTCTCTCTCTTCCTCTGCATGTGTATATATTCCATGCTCACTCCCGCCTCCATTTGCTCTACAGTTGGCTACGCAACCATTGCTCTCTCCCAATCCATATCTGGAAAGCTCCCGTCTGACCTCTCCCCACCCGCCCCACCGCCAAATCCACCCAAATCCCTCACGCTCCTATCCCGCATCACCATCACCGTCTCCGACCCCTCCCAAAACCAGCGCCTCACCCCGCTCTCACAACTCTACTCGCTCATCGCCCTACGGCCCCTTAACGAAAAATGCCTCTCCCTCGCCTGCAACAGCCTGGACTGCGATATAATCTCCCTCGACCTCTCCTCCCGGCTCCCTTTCCACTTCAAATTCAAAACTCTCTCCGCCGCCATCGTCCGCGGCGTGCGCTTTGAAATCTGCTACGGCCCCGGCGTAACTGGTAGCGGCGCTGAAGCGCGCAGGAATCTCATCGGGAATGCCGCTTCGCTGATTCGCGCGACACGCGGGCGGGGGATCATTATTTCGAGCGAGGCGAGGAGGGCGTTAGGGGTTCGGGCGCCGTTTGATGTGGTTAATTTGGCGTGTGTGTGGGGGTTGACACAGGAGAGGGGGAAGGAGGCGCTGTGCGATGAAGCGCGGAAGGTCGTGGCGTTGGCGGGAATTAAGAGGAGGAGTTGGAGGGGGATTGTGGATGTGGTTTACGGTGGGGAGCGGGAGAAGGAGAAGGAAAGGGATGGTGTTAAGAATAAGGATAAGAGTAAGTGCAAGAGGGATGAGGCGACAAAGAATACGAATGGGGTGAAAAGGAAGGCTGATACGGAGACGGACTCGAATGCTGAGCTCCAAGCGCCATTATCGAAACGGGAGATGAAACGGAGGGCGAAGAGGGCGAAGCTTCAGGGGTCGGGAGTTGATACTTCGACCGCTTCGCCCATTGCTGGGGGAAATAAATCATGATTCGTGCTACTTTGGGATTTTCCCCTCTTTTTTACTTCATGACATTGGGCGTCAATTATGTAAAATGAATATTGCGCGGTAAATATGGGATATACATATGCGGCTACAGTAAACTTTCCCAAAAGGGATATACCCTCATGTACTATTAACTCCGCCTATGGTACCTTCAACGGAAAGAAAAGCTGAAATAGAATAACGGGATTGAGGAAGAAAATGGATATGGACAAGCGCTATACGCAATTGGGAATAATTATAATATACCAGGAAAAATAAGTATTACTCTCAATTCCGAAGATTATGGGGTAAGTCAACGCAGCGACAGCGAAAACAGCAAAAGCAAAACAAGGCGCAAGGCCTGCTTGATCCTCTTTAAAAGCAGAGATGAACATGAACATAAAACATAAAATGTCTTTGGTATACAGTAAATAACCTCCCCAAAGCCGCATTTCCCATGCTACGCTCCAAGTCTCAAAGTCAGAGCGCTATAAAGTGCCATGGTGCCAACATCAATAGGCACATCTACAGCCGGATCTGGAGCAGGAGTTTCCTCTGGTGGTTCTGGCGTTGCAGGTTGGGCTGAAACAGCGTTTGTTTCTGCTGCTTCTGGTGTGGTAGCGGTAGCACTGTCATTCGCATCCTCTGCTAGTTCCTGGGTAAAGTCTGCGTCAGTTACCGTTGGTGGAACTTCCGTTGTTGCCGTCGCCTCTGTTGTCGCTGGTTGTGTAACGTCCGCCTCTGCGGCTGGTGGTTGCACAGCGTCTGCACTTGTCATCGCTGGTTCTGTCGGTACGGCAGTGGGAGATTGGTTGGGTGTTGCAAAATCACCTTCGCTGGGTGTTGTATCGCCTTCAGAAGCCACAGGTAAATTAGTGGTGACAACTACAACATCCTCAGATGGTTCTGGGAGAACTACTGGTGGCAAACCAGAAGCATCAATGCTGGAAGTTTGAACGTCTGACTCGGAAGACAAAAATGACTGATCCGGAGCGGGTGTGGCAAAAACTTGAACGTCTGAAAGGGTAGGTGTGACGGTAATGTCGGTTACCACACCAATCTCAGAGGGGAATAATGACCCGGCGGTAGTCGTGTTCAAAATTGAAGATGCGGGAAACGCTGGAGAAGCAACCGTGGCCAAGGTTGTTGGCGACGTCTCACTTCCAAAAGGCATTGACGCTGCCAAATTCACAGCAGGAGTGTCGAAAAAATGAAAAGGACAGAGACATTGACAATCGCAGGCATCGGGGGCAAGGCCTGGTTGTTGGAGGTGAGTATTTGGGACGGCATATGGCCCATTTTGAGTGGGAGGTTTCGGCGAAGCCTGGGGTGTCAAAACGGCCGAAGATCCTGCCTCAAATTGAAACGGTATGGGAGATGGAGTGTGTCCGACAGGTTTAACTGGAATTGAAATGCCTGCCACGCCCTGAAATTCGATGGGTGCTAGAGCTTGTGCTTGTGGTGCTGCCGGAACGGGTTTCGGCGCGTGTGCTTGCGCTTCTGATCCGTCTCCTGAGTTTATAATATTGACTACAATTCCCCCTTCGTCAAATACTACACCGTTGTGAGACGGAGGAGCAGCATCTCCAACGGCAACAGATATGTGATCCTATGATGATGAGCCCTCAACACTTCATTTGGGGTGCTTGACAACATACATTAGGCAACCTCGCATTAATTTGGATGTCTGGTTCAAAATCTTCCCCCTATAATAGAGTATTTAGCATGAGGACGGAGACGATTGATATTTGGCTTAAGACCCTACCCTATGGGGAAACTTTTGGAAATCTTTGAGGCCTATTATTCTCGCGTGTGTTCTGCGCTATAGACTCGATCAGTCTCATCACAATCGTCAACGTCGTCTCGTAGAGCATACTCCCGATATTCCAAGCTGAACAAGCACAAGGCAAGCCACGGAAATATGTCTTATCATGTCTTTCACTGGCAGTGGAGAACTTCGTGGTCTCAAAGATATGATCTCGCAGTTCCACCCACCGTATGCTGGAACTTGTATACAAATCCGAACGACACCAATTCCGGTCCAAACAGTTAACAGTATTGAGCAAAAAGAACGACCGGTCTCATTTGGAGTTCAAAAGAATGTTGATGATCGAGTTTGCGATGTAAAGACCGACAAATCTAGCAGCAATAACGGGAAGTAAATGGATGCCCAGGGGAAAAACACCTTCGAGGAAAAGTTATACAGTCTATGATCGGAATAAGAACCATAGAGAGAAAAATCGATTCCCCTTGCATGGGAAAAGAAGGGATTAAGCTGACTGTCCATCCATTCCAAAGGTTCTCTTTAATGGGCCATAGTTCCCCATTAAAATGACACATGATGGCGTTGGGAAATTGGCCGATGGCCGATGGTCATACATCTACGGTATCATGATGCAATGGCTTTCATGCATCCGTATGAGAATGAAGGTCTTCGCCTGGAAATTGGGTGTACCATCGCTGAAATGTGCGTCAGGCGCCTTGGAGCTGTTAAGGGCTCAAACATGGGCTGTCTCAACTTGCGGGAGATGCCTATGCATCCTCACTCTGATCCAGCTAGTTTTCCTCAACATAATTTCACATCCGAAAATGTGCCATTCATGGTCTCCTTAAGACATGAGCCTCCGCCTGTAAGATATATTCAGTCGCCCAGCCAATGGAAATTTAATGGTCTTGTAGGGCCAAGATAGTTAGCGAGTCGGTGAACTGAATATCAAACCCGGGCGTGTCTGATGCCGCTGAGCTTCCCGTGTCCGAGGTTTAGTTATATAAATAGCCGAATGGGCGGGACAACAGCTATACTGGGGTTCGATAATCGCCTCTCATACGAATACGAATGACTGGGAATGAATGTTTATCAAAATCAATGAGCTCTTGCTCCATTGAAATCCAGCATTATCTATTACATCTTCTAGTTGTTCTCTTTGGAATATGTCGCTGCCATGGCAAGACACCACTCAATAGTTATATTTACCTGGTGTACTCCGTAACTAATGAACATCGGTTTTAGGGATCTTTTAATTAACAGCCGCCTAGACAGACGTCATTATGGGCGCCGTTTACCGAACCACAAAACCTGTCCATTTTATCCAAACTTGATTCCTGCTGTTACACTAAATCTAATGTTTCGCTTTACGAGGAAAACGAAGGCATAGTCAATGATTTATAGAGTAATTAGTAGTAAATGGCAATGTCGGTGGAGTGAAACCGCAGCTATATTCTTGCCAGGAAACCTCGTGCATTGCCGTATACCGACCAACGCGGGACCGTCTATCAGTCCGCTGGTTGACAAGCGGGTATCCAGAGGAACAAGGGTTTCATGCAATATGCCGCCTCCATTCGAGAAGAGAGGGCGGCAAAGCAAAGGAGAATCCGTCCACACAACCTTATTTGGTTCTTTCAGCCCAGATTACCCCTCCTTGAATAAAATTTAAACATGAAAAACTGAAACCTCTGACGCGGGATCGTGAACACTACCCTGGATTTCGGAGATAGGGGATTAGCCAATCCGATTAAACCAGTCTTGTATGCTCTGCCGTTGCGGCCGCTTTGCCCGGGCACCTAAAACTCTGGAACCATGATATTGTGCCAGAGGCAGTGGATCCGGATGCGTTGTCTCCGCATTTCGGGGTTCACCCCCCTTATTCCCACTCCCTTTTTTTTTAAAAAAAAAAAGAGAGAAAGCTTCACTGTCGAGAATTACAATATTCAAGATGAAGCAAATCCTCTGAGAGAATGAAAATCGAGATGTGCACAGGTCCGAACCAGTGTAGACATGTCGTGCATCAGAGTAACTAACCTTCCCAATTTGCGGGGCGCCATACGCTTCTTGTAGGGCCCGATTTGATCCTATGCCGTAGCTGTGATCCCCCCTACAGATTAGTTACCTTGTAAATGTCCTCGCGTTATGAAGGCTTACGAGTTGTAGCCATTTATTTATATGGAAAACCCGAGAGTCCTCACTATTTTATCGAACTTTGGAGTTTGCTCAGTGGAAGTTTGCATTGTTTGCAGCTCCCCCGGCTCCCAGATAATTAAAAAAAAAAAAAAAAAAAAAAAATCATCTGAAACCTCAGAGCCACTCACAGAGAAACGCCAGACCTTCACAAAGAATAGGGGGGCGCATTTATCTGCACATATATGCAGATATATATGTATATATGCTCAAATTTTCACAATGCTTAGAGAAATGTATGTTCCCAATCGCTTTCTGCGGTTTTTCTCCTACTCATTTTCTTTCCTGACCGATATACTCCGTGAATAAGAAAGAATGCTAGGAGGAAAAATAGATAAGCAAAGCTAACACCGCAATTCTGTATAGAAAACCAAAAAACGCGCGTAGCGCCCGCATCCTCAAGGCGCGGGAACCGCAACTTTTCGAACCTGTCAAGCGCATCCTCCTCCTACATGGGCCCAAATGCCCCCAACCCTTACACAACGTCCTCAAAACCTTCCACGCCCTCACAAAGCCACACTCAGTCCTCTTTCACAAGAAAAACGAAAACATCCACCCGTTTGAGAGCACGGAGAATATTGAATTTCTCGCCGTGAAAAATGAATGCGGCATCGTGGTCTTCGGCAGCAGTAATAAGAAGCGGCCAAATTGCGTGACGTTACTGCGCATCTATAACTCCAAGCTGCTGGATATGTGCGAGATGCTGTTGTTGAGCGAGCAGGTTGACCAGGGGAAGGAAGCGGAGAAGGAAGAAATGACAAAAATGAAGTTGGATATTGGCATCGAGATGAAGCCAATGATGTTGTTTGCGGGAAGTGCCTGGGAGGATGCGACGTCGTCTGTATATGGGATGTTGAAGAGTATGTTTTTGGATATGTTCAAAGGGGAGGAGACGGATAAGATTGACGTGGAGGGTTTGCAATATCTGCTTATGGTTGCGGCGGAGGAGCCGGTGGAAGGCTTGGCAGCCATTATTCATTTGAGGTGGTATAAGATTCGGACGAAGAAGAGTGGGCAGAAACTTCCCCGTGTGGAGCTAGATGAGATTGGACCTAAGTTTGATTTTAGAGTTGGGAGGGTACAGGAGGCGGATGAGGCTGTCATGAAGGAGGCTATGAAACAGGCCAAGGCACCGAATGAGGAGGGGAAGATGAAGAAGAATATTGGTATGGATGCCATTGGTGATAAAATTGGACGGGTTCATCTTGGCCGCCAGGATCTGAGTGGGCTACAGACCAGAAAGATGAAGGGGCTGAAGCGGAGGGCTGGGGTTGAAGACGGTGATGGTGGTGGTGGTGGTGGTGATGGCGGGGATGTAGATATGATGGATGTCGGTGAGATAGCTGAAGGCGGTAATAAGAAAAAGGCAAAATTGGGTTGAGGTAGTAATGGTCGTGGTTTTGGCTGTTATTCCTTCTCATTCGGCGTTAGCATGGCGTTCTTTATTTGGGTTTGGCTGGTTTAAAATGGGACTTGTGTGCGAAAAACCCTATCGCTTGTGAAGGAAATCATATAAGAGTTTCATTGTGTAATGAGGGAATCAAAAGCATATATAAATACAGAACCCACTTCAGTACGCCAACTTCGCACAGATGTCTATACGAATAATACAGAAAAACGCCACTCAAAATACATGCTTGGTCAGTAAGCTGGAAACGTGGCGTCACAAAATTTCTCTGTTTATGGTCTGTCAGCTATTTTTCCCGATCAGCCCATTGATTGAGAAGCTGCCAGTGGGAAACTTGGAAGAGCTTGGGCAACGGCCGGTATTAGTGCAGCAGCGGAGATGTCCCCATCAAGCAAGACGTCGAGACTTTCCTCCTCATCCCGCTCATCATCTGACAGTTCTTGAGATCGCCGTCCGGCGCTCGCACCTCTTCTGGCTTTCTTCGCAGAAGCAGACTTCTTGGTAGCCAGCTTGGAAAGACTCGCGTTTGGATTAGGCGTCAATAACCACGCGTATATGACCTTAGGCTTGTCCAAAAGCTTTGCTGCAGCTGGATCACTCTGAATGCGCAGCTTGTCAGACTCCGACAGCGATGGTAGGTTGTCCTTCTCAAGAGACCTGTTCCCCCGCTGGACGATGGTACGGATGTACCCCATATCTTTCAAGCACAGTGAAATTGACCGGAAACTGCATTTCGCATTAAAGGTTTTCTGTATATGGGATTGCATATCTTGAAGACTGGAAAGGGGTCGAGAATTGACGTATTCACGAAGGCCCTGGAGAAATACTCGTCATTGTTTAGTTTTCCATTGCGAAACGGGAAACTGACGGGGCTTGTTGTCGTACCTCCTGAATCTCACTTGTGATAGCCTTTGGCCTCCCCATCTGCTTCATCCTCGGGGGATGAGTTGTTCCCCATGTTCGCAGGCAGAGAGAAATGCCCCGCAGTCGTCGTTCTGATACTCCGTGAGTGGCAGCGATCTGTGGATATGGCTCTCGACGAAACAAAGCTGCAGTCACGGCCAGTTTTTGGTCCTGAGTAAGCCGTTTAGGCATATCTATTCAGCAATCTGCAATCATGTCCAATCCCCTGTCAGAATGTCCAAGCCCAAGCAACCCCAAGAGAAAATTGTCATGTTTTCCAGTCTGATCCTGGTAGTTCTTCGGAGTCGCGACTCGCTGTTGAATCTGGATTAGTCAGTTTGTGGAGTGCTCGGCCCGAATAAGCGCGCGGCAAATGAAGTCACATGAGGGTGTGTGACATCGGTGCGCGCTTGTCGGCAAGAACCTTCACATGCCGAGGGCTGTGGGACTCCAAAAAACAAGTGTGGGCAGAGAAACTCATAGCGATGAGTTCTTGGACACCACAATATTGTTTCAATGATTGTTTTTATATTGGCTCCCAAACACCGGTCACCTCACGACAGTGTCTATTTACGCTCTTCGGGATTCCTCCAGCGGAGCATTTCTACATTAACAGCCACCTAATGAGAGGAACTCGGACTTATATTTCGTTACCTTTTTGCCCGACTGGGGTGCCATTTGCGGGTTTAGAGGATTGACGAGGGTAAAAAGCCATGGATTCCCTTATAGTATGCGGTCACCTCCCCAGGTGTAACCATTAGGATCTCGCGTTAACATGCAGTTGCAGGAAAAGCTAAATAAAATTGCCATGGACCCTGACCTTGCTCCATTTCTCGCGGTTCTTAAAGGAGCTCGCAATGGGGCTGTCTACGGCGCGAAAATTCGTTTCCCCCATGCTTTGGTGTAAGTCCAGCCAATATAATTTGTTACTCAGCTTATGCATTTCTTTTATGAATGTCAACTCACCCTGTCGTACATTTATCAGGATGATATTTATTTTCCGGTCTGGAAGGTAATCGCTCACATGAGTCTCCTCTCAATCTCACCCCGTTTCGTTATCCAGCCGTTTACTCAAATCGTAACACAATGCACAGTTTACGTCATAAAGCATGGCTCGTTTTCAAAGCGACAAGACAACACGCACGGAACCTCTCATTGTTCGCCGTCGTATACAAATCTACCATGCTTGCCCTTAAATATATAGGTCCAAATGGGTGGGGTAAGGAGGGGCCATACGATACTTTCATATCCGGGCTCCTAGGAGGATACCTCGTTTTTGGCAAGTCACCAGGCAGCATTAGCCAACAGGTCAGTATCTGAACCAAAAAAAAATAAATAAATAAATAAATAAATAAAAATAAAAGAAAAAAAATAAAAGAAAAAGAAAAAGAGTTCATGTAAGAGTCTTAAGGGGCTGAAACCTAATATACGTCAATTTAGATCGTTATATACGTATTTGCACGTGTGATGCTTGCAGTTGCAAAGCTCTCAGTTGAGCCTGGGACACATGCGCTGTCCCATCTAATCACACCCGAAGCCAGAAGCGCAATCTATGCAAATGCCTGGCCGGCCTTTGCCAGTCTCAGTTGGGCCTGTGTCATGTACCTTTTCCGCTGGCACCCAGCTGCCATTCAATCAAGCTTGCGAAGCAGCATGACTTACATGTATGTCAAAGGATCCCGAGGCATCTGCACCGATTTGCCATTATGATTCCGATATTAGATTGATGCGAACAACTCGCTGACTTGTATGAAATTAGTTATTCGGACTCTGACCACTGGGATTCTCTGCGAACTTTATTAATTCACAACAAATAAGTCACTATAGAATATGCAGTTCCGTAACGGTGCACATAGAGGGCTTTTGTCATATGCCCCATGTGTTATTTATCCGAGAGACGTGAGCTAATACCGCCACGTTTGCCAAGTATCCCGTTCGTCGTTCGCCATATATTCCCTATTGATGGAAAACCTAAGCGATTTCAGCTGGTGAATGATAATCGCATCTCTAATTATGAAACTTCCGGACTTCTGGAGGTGGGGCAGTTGGAGCTGTGGAAACATATATCCCTTTTGTGACTTGATTTTATTTTATTTTATTTTTCTTCCTTATCATATCTATTCATGAGTTTTTGCTATTTCTCCCTCCTGGCTATTGTATGATATACTTCATTTTGTCATGAATTAGAAGAAGCCCTGTATTGGTGATATATATGATTACATATGAAGATATATATATAATTAAAGATTTTCATCGCCCTGAACTTTTCCTGTCCCGAAGTTTTTCGGGATCTGCATGAAAGATGAGCTAGTCTCCTCTGTGGAAGTGCTGTAATCTTAAAGAATTGCTCTCTGCCATAGTCCGACTTGCCGTGTCACATATAAAGCCAATGTTATGCATCCCGATCGGGGCCTGATCCAGGCTTCTCAGGACCTTCGGCGATAATTTACCCGGTTCCATGTCAGGGATGAGCCGCTGTCCGAAGTCAAAATACGAGCAGCGTAATGTCTATTTGCCCGGACTTTGGTTTTGGACAACCTTATCGATGAACCAGAGAACAGGCTAGTAAGTGTAGAAGTCAGCTCATTGGGGAGAGATGCGCACGTCATGCAAATGCCCCGCTCCTGGCTTCCACAGCGTGAGTTTGAAAAACCACTTGATGAAATCCTGGATATCCCAGCTCGTTTTGCCTCCTTTAGATCAAAAGGCTGGAAGGGTCTCAAAATAAATATATATAGATGCCCAAATATACAAGCATTTCCATTCTATTCTTTTAACTGTTTTGAATGCCTCTGTGAGCTCTTCACTTGTCTTCCCTTACCCCACCTTACCTCCCAGCATCTCTCACTCCCTAGAACAAAATCAAAAGCATACTAACGCCATCCAAACAGTCCATTCAAAAAAAAAAAAATAAATAAATAAAATAAAAAAATAATAAAAAAATAATAAATAAAACGTAAAATATGAAGGGAATCATTTCCGAGAATGTTGGCGAGCCTTTTAAAATCGTTGATAATCTCGAGGTCCCTGAGCCATCATCGGACCAGATCTTGGTCAAGTCGATTTACATGGCTATTAATCCAGCGTTAGTATATCCATAGTGTTCATTTTATTTTATATTATGTCTCTCCAAGTTGAATTGAGTTTTTTGGATTATTTTTTCTTCTTTATTTTTATTTTATTATTTATTTATTTATTTTTTGTAATAGACCGTCTGGATGGACGATGCACATGTACTGCATACATATACCTGCAGGTCCAGAGGAGCGAGCAAACTTTGATATTTCCTTTGTTGTAAAGTCACATCTGCCAGAAAATATTCGTTCCTCAGGGGTTTTCTAACTACTCTACATCCAGTGACGAATTGATGAGGTCGACGGGAGTCCTCGTCCAAGAATGGCCGCTGGGTCTTGGGCTCGACGTCGCAGGCATCGTCGTAAAGGCTGGTGAAAATGCTGCCTCGTCGTTTAAAGTAGGCGATCGTGTTTGCGGTTGCTCTCGCTTGGGATACCGTGGGTACAACGGCGGGCAGGAATATGTAAGTGCACTCATTTTTCTTGGGTAGATTAGGTAGATTGAGTATATGGGTGCGTGCCTCATTCCGTGGGTTGAAACTAGGGCTTTTATACCAGAACTGGGGGATGGTTCAACCGTTCTAACTTAGTATATAATATTATTATACGAGATATAGTTCCTGATGGATGCCAGAGTTACGATTCCCAAACCGAAAAATATTTCTCTAGTGGAAGCTGCTACGATTGGCGTTGGTGTTGAGGTATGTTTCCTCAGTGGCATGTTCACTCCCTTCGGAGGGTCGGTGACGCTCGACAGAAATTGAAAGCTCATATGAGAGTAGACTGCAGGCCTAGGTATATTCAACTCTCTCGATGTCGAGTTGCCCAAGCTGGAAGATGTCCGCGAAGGGAAATATGAACCTCCAAAAAGGGATGAATGGGCAGTTGTTCTTGGAGGCTCCAGCAGTGTTGGAAAATTTGGCGTTCAGGCAGGCACTCAATTATTCCCGTGGCACCAGTATTAGCCATCCAAAATGGCATGCTAATGGATCCTTAGCTCCTTGATATCTGCGGATATAAAGTGATCGCGTCCTGTTCAGAACAATCAGTTCCGGTTCGAATATTTTCTCCTAGTTACATTTTTTCGATATATGGCAATGCTAACATCCGTATATCAGCTTGTGAAAAGTCAGGGAGCGAGGGCTGTATTTGATTATAAAAAGTCAATTAGAGATCAAGTCAAAACTGTCCTTGATATTACCAAAGGCAGAGTTCACCGAGTCTTTGACGCCGCGGCGACTGGTGATGCGTTCGCGAAAGAGCTGTTCAAAAAGCTCCCAGCAGCAGGTCCAAAGTTGTTTTCCACGACAAATGCCTGGTAAGTCTATTTTGAAGAAGGGACGATTTCACACAGCTTCTTGGGTTTCTTTCCCATCAAAATGCTTTAGCTAACCTCGTGAACAGGAGTAAAATGACTGACTTTGAAGGGGGAAAAACAAAGATTGTTAAGATGAGTACAATTGGAAGACCCAACGGAGAGCATATCAACAAGCTTCTTGAAGAGTACATCCCGGTGTTTGTGGCTTTGTTTGAACAGGGGAAGCTACTTCCTGCTCCCTTTGATTTGATCGAATACGGAGGGTTTGAGGATGCGCTTGAGGCATATAGATATCACCAAAAGGGAGCGGGAAGATCGCACAAGGTAGTGGTCAAGATTCAGGATGAGTAGTTAGGGAGAAGATATTTGTTGAATGCTTTTGATACAATCGTGACTTTGGAATGTGGGAATTTGAATCTTCATATTCATATGTATATATATATATATATATATTATCCCATACAGCCCTCGATATCCATTCCGATAGTTACAAGTTTGGATATGTTGTCCTTGGAATAGCGACTGCTCTGCACAGATAGAATGGCGCCATTCCTGATTGGGATAGGTTCTTCTAACTAGTCCGCATGAGGTAGTTTGTCTTGTCGATCCCCCACGCATTCACTGAATAAAGTATTTAAGGTTTATCTGACAAAGTCGCCGATGACGTCTTGCCCAGAGCCTCCTATTTCAACCTAATCCTGCTGCCAACAGCAGTTTCAACGCGATTTGCAAGCCTCTAACCGTAGCAATAAATAACCCCCATTAAAATAATTATGCTATACTTCTCTTGAAATACCGGCAATGGCTCCTCCAATCCTGCCATCACCAAAACTATCCATTTCCGCATCCCCGCTCACTCCATCCTCCTTTCAACCCTTCGGTAACGCCATATGTAGCCCATTGCCATCAACACTTGCCCGTGCACCTCCAGTCACCTCCATTCGGTCCCTCGCAAACACAAACAGTTCTACAGTATCCGATCTCCCTACCCCAACTCTTGCCAACCAATCCACCGCGTTGAAATACAGTCCAATCTCCGTATTCCAGAATAATTACGACCAATGTGAGAGTACGAGATCCCGGGACCGAGGAGGTGCGGGCTCTCCATGCATGAGTATGTTTTCGTGTTTCCCGAGATCATTGCGGGGAGGTGGAGAACAAGGGAAGGGTTTTTTTGATGTTAGGATTCTGGAACGACATCCGTATACAACGCAGACGTTTGTACCGCTGGGTGTCACAACGCCTGCGGATAAAAGGGGCCAGGGTAGAGAGAGTAGGAGATCCACAGATACGAGTAATAATGGTGATATTGACGATAACAGCAACAACGGCATGGCTCCTAGCTTCTTGGTTATCGTTGCACCATCATTACATGGCCAGACGGCACGGGCTACTGTTGTAAATGCTCGGGGTCTCAAGGAGGTGGTTATTCGCGACCCACCGGATATGCGCAATATGAAGGCGTTCGTTGCACATGGTGGGCAGGCGGTTACGTATGGAGTTGGGACGTGGCATGCGCCGATGGTAGTGGTGGGGAGGCATCGGGTGGATTTTGTGGTGGTGCAATTTGTTAACGGGGTTGCGGAGGATGATTGTCAGGAGGTCGCATTCGGGGAAGGGATAGTTGTTGATGTAGATATTGACGTGGATGTCAGGGAGATGGAAGTTTATGAGGATGAGGTGGCTAAGTTATGAGTGGTACTTTCATGGTTTTAATGGGACAGTGCATTGTTTTATATTTATATATACACCCAGGCAATTATAATTTCCATTGCGACATCAAAATGAAAGTATTGTTGAATATTGCGCCAGGGTATCTAAGAATCATATTAAGATGTGATGACCGGAAAGTTAAAAAATTGGTAAAACAAAGATAAGTGCGGGTGAGAGTTGGAATATCACGAGCCGCGTTGGGCAGCTTGACCGCGACCAGATAGATTCTCTTCAGGCTCATAGCTTCCTCCGCCGGAAATTTCACCCAACACGTCCTTTGCGACATCGATGACACTCTCCGGAAGGCCTGCTAAGCGTGCAATCTTCAAAGCGTGGGATCGGCGATTCACGCCCTTTCTCAATCTATGATCGAACGAAAACGACCCCGACGAGTCCTCCTTTAAGTCCGTGCAGTATCGAGCCAAACGTTCGAAGCCAGCAGTCATGTCGGCCAGTGCATAGAAATGCGTTGCAAATAGCGTGCGACATTGATTGACGTTATGGAGATGGCGAAGACATGCAAATCCAACCGCAGTTCCGTCCTCCGGCGTAGTCCCCCGCCCAACTTCATCCATGATGACAAAGGAATGTGACGTTGCATTTTTCAAAATCGCGGCCGTTTCCAACATCTCTACCATGAAGGTAGACTGGTTGCGGAACAGGTCATCCGCAGCACCAATACGGCTGAATATCTGATCCACAACACCTATCTCTGCATGTTCTGCCGGGACGAACGAGCCGACTTGCGCGAGAAGGGTAATGAGGGCATTTTGACGCAAAAAGGTACTTTTGCCGGCCATGTTTGGGCCCGTTATGAGCCATATGCGCTCCTGTTCTCCGATAAAGCAGTCGTTGCTAACAAAAGGGCGGCCTTGTTCCTCCAATCCAAGTTTTACCGTTGGATGTCTTCCGCCCACGATTTTGTGGCTTGTGCCATTGTTGATAACCGGTCTAACCATCCGCTGCTCCTCGGCAAGATTGGCAAATGAGCATGCAACGTCAAGTTCGGCCAATACAGCGGCATTTCTCCGCAGTTTCACAAGGTTCAAAATCACGTCTTCACGGAGGTTTCTCAAAACACGCTGTTGTTCGGTCTTGATCTCTTCTTTTGCTTCGCCTATTCGAGCACCCAATTGTGTCCAAGAACTTAAATAAAAGGAACGTGTTGATTTTGATGAGGAAACGGATTGCAATTCTTTCAAGGCTTCGACTGTTTGTTGGGATGCCTTTGCTCCCTTCACATGAACAATATGGCCAAGTGCAGGAGTCCATTTGAGACTTAGATTGTCAGTTCCTGTGATATCCTGCAGTTTCAGTGTTAGTTCCGACTTTTCGTTGTTCAGATAATCAAGTTTATCGTGCAGCTCTTGCAGCTTCTCGCTCGCATCGCGGCGTATGACCCATACGTCTCCATCTGACTGTTCAACCTCGTTCGACTCCTTTTGCTTGGCACCGCATTGACCTTGGATTTTCTTGGGCATAGCTTCTAGATCTTCTGGGGATCCTTCATTGAAAATAACCTGCTGAGCTAGGGCCGCAGCTTCGGCGGCCGCGTCATCTTCAATCCGCTGCTTTTGAAGGAGCCCCTCTTCATCAATTGCGCCGAGTATTCGCTTTGAAAGTGTTTCGAGGCCGTCGAGGTTCAGACGATCAAGCATGGAACGTAAACTATGAGTCACAGGATTGGCTTCTTGGTCAGAAGGTCGATCAGAACTTTCGATATTCTGTAGCAGAATATCTTTTATATCTCGCGACACTTGGATTGTCTTTGAGAGGCATATGAGATCGTCGGCTTCGCCTCTTCCTAATGAAAACTGCTGAACCAATCGTTGAGAGTCGTAGCTACGTTTAAGGAGGAGTGTTATATTTTGTCGTAGGTCTTCATCTGCAAGGAACTTGGATACCAAATCAAGGCGCTCGTTTATAATATGTAGTGAAGCAGAAGGCGACGCTAGACGATGGCATTAGCCTATAAAACCTGCAGGCGCAAGGAGGAGACGTAAAACAAAGTCCATACTCAATCTATCTCTAAGCAGTCGTGCTCCACTTTTAGTTGACGTTCGACGCACAGCATGGAGAAGGCTTCCTTTCCCAAGACCATCTCGAGCGGTTTCTAAAATCTCCAGCCCCTTTAAGCTATTACGGTCAATAGTCATAGATTGGTCAAGATGCCTGCGGCGTGGCACCTGGAGTTTCATATTCATTCCCCGGGTCTGAAAGTGGACATATTCCAGCAATATATTACATGAAGCTGTTTCCTCTGTAGTAAACGTGCTAGCTGCATCAGGGGTTATTGGGGATTCAAAGACCGAACTCCAATCGGACAGCGTCTTCGTCTGGTCCTGACATTGAAACGACGTTAAAAGGTGTTTCTGGTCTTGCCCAACAATTGCTTGAAGCTCTTGTTTGAATTTATCATCGACGTTCAGGTCGATAACTATCTCCCGGGCATTAATCCTGGTAATGGCAGATGGTAGCATTTGTGCTGTCGTACACTGGGTAAAAAAAACCCCTGTTGACAAGTCTACCCAGGACATACCGACAGATCGAGATCCCGAGATATAAGGGTGCTGTTCAGGCGATAGTATTTCCGTCTCCTCCGGGAGGGTATGGGCCATATATACTGACAGGAGGAAGTTGTTCTCAGAAGGATCCATAAACTTCTCGTCTATCAATGTCCCGGGTGTAACAATTCGAGCAACTTTACGGTCATATTGTAGACCCCCCGATTTGGCTTTTTCAGCTTCATCGTTGCGATATTCCTCGCTAATAGCCACATACTTGTTTAAGTCCTGAACCAGGATTTTTAGAAAACGTTCCAGTTGGAAATAAGGGAAGCCTGCCATTGGAACGACACCAGCGGTTGTTCTCTTCTGGCCCAATTTCAAGTTCAGCAGTTTAGCGTATTCTTCGGCTTGTTCGAAATAGAGCTGCAAAAGAATAACCACTACTATCACTATTGTTTCTCAGGCAATTTCAGGTAACAGGCTTCCGTACCTCGTAAAAGTTTCCAACCCTTGTCAGCAGTACACAGTTTTTAAATTTTAGCATGTTGTTCTTGGCTCCTTGAATCACCGTTGGATACTGAGGCGCATCATTGACATGCGGCTTAAATGGTTCCAGAGATTTCAAACGTCCTTGAGGAAGATCATTTAATTTGGCAGAATCTGTCATTGCCCCGCGATTGTGGTTCAGAGGGACAAAACCGCGGGCCAAAACGCGAGATCTGGAGGCATTGCGGACGGCGCAAAAACATGAACATGTTGATAGCAGAGGACGTCTCAGCTGCCGTCCATACAGATAAACTGTCATTATCCACGACCACCCGGGTTGTTCTGTTAGTGTACCTTGATACGCCAGATTCAACCAGGCATTTATTCCAAGGTTTTGTCGTTCCTCTATTTATTACTTTCGACGCAGTAAATATGAAAAGGTAAAAGAGCATTCAGGCTGAGCTTCTTGCCACGCTAGTCCCTTTCCGGACTCTCCTTCAACCCTTCAACATCAAAGCTTCTTCAATGCTTCATCAACATATTTTTCTATTGTACGCTCAACTTTTTACAACCTCCAATACTTGCGACGGAAGAATTCGAGCGCTCTAACCTCGCGTGCCATCTTCAAGCGATGCGACTGGGTTCCTGAATTACCCCTAACCCTGCCGTGTCTGCAAGGTTTCATGGGCTAAATCCACAATATCTACCAGATCAACAAGCTACAGATTACCAGCAAATTACGGCATCTCTCGACGATAACCTCGTACGACGATCAAGATGGCGGATCCAAATAATGTGTCGCAGTACAAGTACTCGGCGATGTCCAACCTGGTTCTCCAGGCGGACCGTCGATTTGTAACTCGCCGCACAGATGAGGTTACAGGTGACCCGGAGTCCCTCGCCGGTCGTATTAATATCAAGGACATGGGCACACGAGTGTCAGAAGCGGATGCTGCAAAGGTCAAAAGAGTTCCAGTTACCCCGAGAAATGTGGAACGGGATGCCATTCGTGAAGGCGAAGCTGTCTTGCAACGAGAACAGCGGAAGCGGAAACGAGGGGAACCCGCCCAGATGAAGGGCGCGGGTATCCTGTCTGCGGCAGATACGCTTATTGAAGGCCTAAAATATCGTCCCAGAACTCCTGTGACGAGAGCAACGTATGATTTAATACTCACCATGACTTCCAACCACCTGGGCGATGTGTCTCACGAGGTCATTCGAAGCGCTGCGGATGCGGTGCTGGAGCTTTTGAAAGACGAAAATATGAAGGACTTTGACAAGAAAAAAGAGATTGATGATTTACTTGGAAGCTCGATGGGACCCAAGGAGTTTAATGAGCTTGTAAACCTGGGGAAGAAAATTACTGATTACGATGCCCAGGATGAAGATGAAAACATGGAGGACGGCGCGGATGGTGGACATGGCGGAGAGGAATTGGATGAGAGACAAGGTGTCGCTGTGGTTTTCGATGAACCAGATGATGAAGAAGAAAATTTCGCCCACGAAGTTCGAGACGCTGATGAGCATTCCGACGAAGACATGTCTGATGAGGAAGATCGACCGGATCTAGAGGAGATTGCTACCGCTGGTGGGGCCGCTGCTGAAAGGGACAAAGCCGGCACCCCCGATGAAGAAATAATAATCGATGGCACCGTGGAGGCATCCAATGGCGACAAAACTAATGGTAGCGCAAAAGTTGTTCCAATCCGCGAAATTGATGCCTATTGGCTCCAACGGGAGATTGGATCGGTTTATAGTGACGCACATATACAACAAGAAAAGACCCGAGAGGCGTTACAGATGATGGGTGAAAAGTTCGAGGATGGGAGTGAAAGACCGCTCCGTGATGTAGAAAATGACCTAATGGAGCTTTTCGATTACGATTATCCAGATTTGGTTGGAAAGCTCATCACGAATAGGGACAGAATTGTCTGGGTAACCAAGTGGAGGCGAACTGCGGATGATGCGGACGCCAAAGCGGTTCTTGAAAAGGAGATGGTTGAAGCTGGTCAATACGCGATTTTGGATGAACTACGTGGCAAGTCATCTCGAGAAAATGGAGCGGAACAGGCTGGCAAAAAAATGAGAATTGACTTAATGGACATTGATATCCCGGGTCCTAAGCCAACTGAAGCTGAATCGAAGCCAAAGGATGGTGTCATAACGCGTGGGCTTCAGCCTAAAAAGCTCATTAACCTCGAAAATCTGATTTTTGATCAAGGAAACCATCTCATGACTAACCCTAATGTCAAATTGCCCCAAGGTTCAACCAAAAGAACGTTTAAGGGATATGAGGAAATTCACGTTCCCGCTCCCAAACCAAAGAGAGACCCAAATGAGCGCCTTATTTCAATTTCGGACCTCCCAGATTGGGCTCGTCCCAGCTTCAAGAACTCCGAAAAGCTCAATCGTATCCAAACCAAGTGTTTCGCGACGGCATTTAACGATGATGGGAACATGCTCATTTGTGCTCCAACAGGATCTGGGAAAACCAACGTAGCAATGCTTACAATCCTACGTGAGATTGGGAAAAATCGGAACTCTGAAACTGGAGAAATCATGTTAGATGACTTCAAAATAGTCTACATCGCACCATTGAAAGCACTTGTCCAGGAGCAAGTTGGGAATTTCGGCGAAAGACTAAAACCTTATGGCATCCGTGTCTCTGAACTTACAGGTGATCGTCAACTTACCAAAAAGCAGATAGCAGATACCCAGATTATTGTAACCACTCCTGAAAAGTGGGATGTTATCACGAGAAAAGCAACTGATACCAGCTATACGAGGCTTGTACGGCTCATCATTATCGATGAAATTCATTTGCTCCATGATGACAGAGGTCCCGTCCTAGAAAGCATCGTTAGCAGGACGATACGTAAAATGGAGCAGACCTGTGATCCAGTGCGCCTGGTTGGTCTGAGCGCCACGCTCCCTAATTATCGCGATGTTGGCAGCTTTCTGCGTGTTGACCCGATCAATGCGCTTTTCCACTTTGATGGATCTTACCGACCATGTCCGTTGAAGCAGGAATTTATTGGTGTGACTGATAAAAAGGCAATTAAACAGCTGAAAACAATGAATGATGTTTGCTATACGAAGGTTCTCGAGCAAGTTGGTGCTAATAAAAATCAAATGCTGATTTTCGTTCATTCAAGAAAAGAAACGGCAAAGACCGCTAGATATATACGAGACAAAGCTGTTGAGATGGAAACCATAGGCCAAATTTTGAGAAGCGACGCGGCTAGTCGAGCTATTCTTACAGAAGAAGCAGATGCAGTTAACGATCCTGCTTTGAAGGACCTTATGCCTTACGGTTTTGGCATTCACCATGCTGGCATGAGTCTGGCTGATCGTACCTCAGTTCAAGAACTTTTTGCGGATGGTAGTTTGCAAGTTCTTGTTTGTACTGCTACCTTGGCGTGGGGTGTCAATCTCCCAGCTCATACAGTTATCATCAAAGGTACTCAAGTTTACTCGCCGGAGAAAGGCAGCTGGGTTGAATTGAGTCCTCAGGATGTGCTGCAGATGCTTGGCCGTGCTGGTCGACCACAGTATGACACGTTCGGAGAGGGTATTATCATAACATCCCAAACCGAAATGCAATATTACCTCTCCCTGCTCAACCAGCAACTCCCTATTGAAAGTCAACTTATGAGCAAGCTTGCTGATAACCTAAACGCTGAGATTGTGCTTGGAAATGTCCGCAATCGCGACGAAGGGGTAGAATGGCTCGGTTACACGTACCTATTTGTCCGAATGCTTCGCTCCCCTGGCCTTTACAGTGTTGGCACTGATTACGAAAACGACCAAACCCTCGAACAGCGACGCGTGGATTTGATACACTCTGCTGCAACCGTTCTCGAAAAAGCTAACCTTATTAAATATGAGAAAAAGACAGGAAAGCTCCAATCTACCGAACTTGGCCTGATTGCTTCACATTACTATATTACGCACAGCTCTATGAACACATATAACTACCACCTTCAGCCCATGGTGTCGACAATTGAGCTCTTCCGTATTTTTGCTCTTAGTGACGAATTCAAGTATATTCCAGTTCGACAAGATGAAAAATTGGAGCTAGCGAAGCTCCTTGGTCGTGTTCCAATACCTGTGAAGGAAAGCATTGAAGAGCCTCACGCGAAGGTCAATGTACTCCTACAAGCATACATTTCTCGCTTGAAGCTGGAAGGGCTTGCGTTAATGGCGGATATGGTATATGTTACCCAGTCCGCAGGTCGTATTCTTAGGGCAATGTTCGAAATTGCACTGAGAAAAGGATGGGCGTCAGTAGCAAAAATCGCTTTGAGCCTGTGCAAGATGGCAGAAAAGCGAATGTGGCCTACAATGTCTCCTCTTCGCCAATTTCCATCTTGTCCCCGTGACGTTTTGCAGAAGTCGGAAAGAATCGACATTCCGTGGTCTACGTATTTTGATCTGGATCCACCGAGAATGGGAGAGTTGTTAGGCATACCGAAGGCAGGCCGAACCGTTTGCGATCTCATCTCAAAGTTCCCGCGTCTGGATGTTCAGGCACAGGTTCAACCAATAACTCGGTCAATGCTCCGTGTGGAACTCACCATTACCCCTAATTTCACATGGGATGATGATCTTCACGGCGTTGCAGAAAGCTTCTGGATCATTGTGGAGGACTGTGATGGGGAAGATATCCTCTTCCATGATCAATTCATTCTTCGCAAAGAGTTCGCTGTTTCTGAAATGAATGAGCATCTAGTAGAGTTCACTACACCCATAACGGAGCCAATGCCTCCAAACTACTTCATCTCACTTGTTTCGGATCGATGGATGCACTCAGAAACAAAGATCCCCGTCTCGTTTCAAAAGCTGATTCTCCCCGAGCGCTTCCCGGCTCATACACCGTTGTTGGATATGCAGCGAGTACCAGTAAAAGCCCTTAAACAAACTGAGTACCAAAAGCTCTATCCTCATTGGGATCATTTCAATAAGGTTCAGACTCAAGCTTTCAAGTCATTATTCGACTCGGATGACAACGTTTTCCTAGGAGCCCCTACTGGCAGTGGCAAAACGGTCTGTGCTGAGTTCGCTCTACTTCACCACTGGTCGAAGTCCAAATTTGGAAAAGCTGTGTATATTGCTCCTTTCCAAGAATTGATCGACCATCGCTTGAGTGATTGGCAAAACCGGCTGGGGAATCTCGATAGTGGCAAGAACATTGCCAAACTTACCGGCGAAACCACCGCAGATCTAAAGATTCTCGAGAAGGCCGACCTCGTCCTCGCTACTCCAATTCAGTGGGATGTTCTGTCACGGCAATGGCAGCGCCGTAAGAACGTACAGGCTGTTGACCTCTTTATCGCTGATGAACTTCACATGCTTGGCGGTCAGGGGGGTTATATTTACGAGATTATCGTTTCAAGAATGCATTATATTGCCCTTCAGACCGAAAAGGAGTTGCGAATGATTGGTCTAAGTGTCCCCCTATCCAATGCTCGGGACATCGGGGAGTGGCTTGGTGCTAAAAAGCATACAGTTTACAACTTTAGTCCTCATGTGCGTCCAGTTCCATTGGAACTGCACATTCAGTCGTATACTATTCCCCATTTCCCCTCTCTCATGCTCGCCATGGTGAAACCTGCACTTGCATCAATTCTACAACTATCGCCCGATAAACCGGTACTCTTGTTTGTACCGACTCGAAAACAAACACGGTCCACTGCTCTGGATTTGTTGGCTGCTTGTATTGCTGCCGATGGCGAGGACATATTCTTGCATGCTGATGTGGAAGAACTTTCGCCCCTGCTGAAACGTATCGACGAACAAGCACTGGCAGAGTCAATAACCCATGGAATTGGCTATTATCATGAGGCTCTTAGCAACAGTGACAAGCGTATTGTTTCTCATCTCTTCAAAATTGGTGCGATTCAAGTTATGCTTGCCTCCCGAGACGTTTGTTGGGAGATCAATTTCAACGCTCATCTTGTTATTGTCATGAATACCCAATTCTTTGATGGTCGCGAACACCGATACATTGATTATCCGATAAGTGAAATACTTCAAATGTTCGGAAAAGCTTCTCGTCCACTTGAAGACAAGAGCGGAAAGGGTGTTCTTATGGTTCCTGCCGTCAAACGTGATTACTATAAGAAATTTCTGAATGAAGCGCTACCAATAGAAAGCCATTTGCAAATACATTTGCACGATGCGTTTGTCACCGAAATAAGCACTAGGACCATCGCATCTACACAAGATGCTGTCGATTGGATGACATACACCTATTTCTATCGACGTCTTCTCGCAAATCCTAGCTACTATGGCTTAACAGACGTGAGTCATGAGGGGTTGAGTACTTTCCTCTCAGAGCTAGTTGAGAACACTCTCAAGGAACTCTCTGAGGCCAAGATCATCGACCTAGACGAGGAAGATGATACGTTATCGCCACTAAATGCTGCGATGATTGCAGCATATTACAACATTTCGTTTATCACCATGCAAACCTTCTTACTTTCACTTACAGCCAGAACAAAGCTGAAAGGTATACTCGAAATCATCACTTCGGCTACTGAATTTGAGATTATCCAGGTTCGACGTCATGAAGAACATATTCTCCGTCGTGTATATGATAGAGTGCCGGTTAAGATGTCACAGCCAGTCTACGACTCGCCACACTTCAAAGCCTTCATTCTTTTGCAGGCACATTTTTCCCGTATGCAGCTTCCGATTGATCTGGGTAAAGACCAAGAAGTTATTGTGAGTAAAGTTTTGAACCTCCTAAGCGCTTGCGTAGACGTTCTTTCTTCCGAGGGTCACTTGAACGCAATGAATGCGATGGAGATGTCGCAAATGGTTGTTCAAGCTATGTGGGATAGGGATAGTCCATTGAAGCAAATTCCGCATTTCGGCCCAGAGGCCATCAAAGTGGCCAACGAGTTCCAGTACGTCGCACTTTTCAACCCCAAGTATCCATTGGAATTTGCTAACCAACTTTTTGTGTGCAGCATCAAGGACATCTTTGAGTTTATGGAAGCTATGGACCCGTCGGAGAACAAGGATTATGCAACCCTTGTGAAGCGCCTGGGTCTCAACAACAAGCAGCTTGCACAAGCGGCAGAATTTACGAACAACAAATATCCTAACGTGGACCTCGACTTTACTGTTCTTGACGAGGAGAATATCACCGCCGGCGAGCCAGCGTATATCGATATCAAGATTGAGAGGGATGTTGAAGAAGATGAAGAAGTCGATACCACTGTGTCTGCTCCGTTCTATCCGGGCAAGAAGATGGAGAACTGGTGGCTTGTTGTTGGTGAAGAAAAGACAAACAGCCTCCTCGCCACCAAACGGGTCACAATCGGAAAGAAATTGCAGCTCAAACTGGAGTATATTGTTCCGACACCTGGTGAACATGAGTTAACGCTGTTCTTAATGAGTGATAGCTATGTCGGCGTTGATCAGGACCCTTCATTCAAAATTACGGCAGCAGAAGGAATGGATGAAGATGAGGAAGAGGATGACGGAGAAGAGTGAGAAATGCATGTTCTCATGTGTTATATTTCCAGGATTTAAGTCTTGTTACCCTGTTCTATGTTTTTCTCCCCTTTTTTCCCCTTTTTTTTCCCCCCTATCTTTTCATATGAGCCTATCATCTATCGAGGAGCTTTTGTCATGTTTTTACTCTGTTTTTTAGGGTTCAAGACAAGAAGGACAACTTACACTTCCCCCATGACATATACCAGCCCGGTTCAGATTTCCTTTGGTGTCATCGCCATGAATTTGAATTTTCCCTTCATGTACTTGTACACAATACAAATGGAATTGATAATGTAGTTTAATTCACATCTTCTCAAGTGTTGTGGTTCCGAGTTTGGTTGATGCCTGGGCAGTGCAGTGAAAAACCATAACGTGCCACGGTCGTTCCACACAATCGACTTTCCGCAACATCCTAGAAAGCTTCTTTCAATCCATCAGTTGCATTTTGACATATTGACTAGACACTCCATTACTTATCAAACTTGAGCTCTCACAACTTCTTAACACCAACTGTGCAACACTATATATCATACCTACATCTCAATTAAACGACTTACAGAAAGAGAAATTTCATCATGACTATCCGAGCTTCAAAGTTTACCCCGGAGTAGGTACAAACACGTACCCTAATCCGCTATGTCTTCAAGTTAATGACAGTTCTACACACAGGGTAATGCTGAGCGCTCCTCGACGCTCCGCCGCAATTCCTAATGCATCGGGTACCCTGCTAGCCTACACCCAGACGACATACTCATTTGAGTCACACTTGACCACCTCTGAGCTGCGGGTCCTCGACGTTGCAACCGGCAGCTCTGTTCTCCTGACAAATTCCTACCGCGGGTCTCCACAATGGCTAGGTGATGGGAACAAGCTCGTCTGGCTGAAGGAAGAAGACGATGGCAAAACGAGCTTCATTGTTGGTGATGGCAAGCGTGAAGAAGACTCTTATGTTGCGGGAACCGTATCGGGACCCGTATCGGATTTAAAGGTTACTACTATTTCCCGTGGACTCGTGGGTTTTGCGGTTTCTGGGAAGGGGAATCAAGACGGAACTCTGTACAATCCGTCAACTGCGAAAAAGCCAGTTAGCTCTGGAAAGTTGTATACGTCCCTTTTCGTCAGGCATTGGGATGAATACATTCGACCACAGAAAAATAATATTTGGTATGGGACACTACAGCAAACCACATCCTCTACGGCAGGACAGCGATCCAAGTACAAATTATCAGAATTAAAGAACCTATTTTGTCAGATTGGTGCAACGGATATAGAATCACCTATTCCTCCGTTTGGTGGGACCGATCATTTTGATATATGTCCCCGAGGCATTGTGTTTGTGGCTAGAGATCCGAATTTGAATCCGGCGTTGCATACCAAATGTCTACTGTACTATTGTCGATTGCAATCCTGGACCGAAGCAGTTCCTGTTTCTGCAAAAACTCTCACACTCGATGAGTTAAACGGAGCGATTACCTGCCCAATTCTGTCACCGGTGAAAAATACGCTGGCAGTATTGGCTATGAGAGAGGATGGATATGAATCAGATAAGAATAGGATCATTCTTGTCCCCAGCCTATTTGACGCGCAGACTCGGCCTATTGAGCTATTCGCAACAGCAGGTGGTGCTAGTTTATGGAGCCTAAGCCCAAGCTCTCTTGCATGGGGAGAGGACGATTTTGATCTATTCATCCGAGCCGAGGATACCGGTCGCTGCGTTGTGTTCAGACTTCCAATCCCTAATTACGCGAATGCATCTATACAACATCTATCCAAATTAACCCATTCCGGATACGTTATTGGCCTTGCGTTAGCATCCAAGAAGTTATTCCTATCTAGTACCAGTCTCGTGGAAAACAGCGTATTCTCATACATAGATTTGTCGAGACCAGGCCAGGAACAAAAAGTTGTCTGTTCAAGTTCACGACATGGCGTATCACTTGGCCTGGCCCGTGAACAAGTCAGCGATATATGGTGGAGAGGAGCAGATGACCGACCAATTCATGCATGGGTCATAAAACCATCCGACTTTGTCCCACAAAAGAGGTATCCCCTCTGCTATCTCATTCATGGCGGACCTCAGGGCGCATGGAACGACCAATGGAGCACCCGTTGGAATCCTGCCGTCTTTGCAGAACAAGGCTACGTTGTTATTACCCCAAATCCTACAGGCAGCACCGGCTACGGCCAGGAATTTACAGACGCCATCCAAAACGAGTGGGGCGGCAAGCCGTACGAGGATATCGTCAGGGGCTTTGAATATATCGAAAAAGAACTCGACTACGTCGATACTGACCACGCAGTGGCCATGGGCGCCTCCTACGGCGGCTTCATGATCAACTGGATCCAGGGCCACGATTTGGGCCGCAAGTTCAAAGCCTTAGTCACACATGATGGGATCTTCAGTACGAAATTTTCTCTCGCTGCTGAGGAACTCTATTTCCCCATCCGTGATCTGAAGGGTGTGTTCTGGCAAGTCCCCGAGAACTGGGATCGCTGGGACCCCTCCTTGTTCCTAGATAAATGGGCCACACCGCATTTGATTATCCATAACGAGCTGGATTACCGTCTCACTATTTCGGAGGGCTTGGCTGCCTTTAATGTATTGCAGATGCGTGGTGTACCCAGCGCGTTTTTGACTTTCCCAGACGAGAATCATTGGGTGCTCAAGCCGGAGAATTCCCTCTTTTGGCATCGTACGGTTATTAATTGGATCAATAAGTATGCAGGGTTGCCGCCGTTGTTGGATGCGATTGATGGGTTCCCGGCCAAGATTGATGAGAAGGATGTTTTGCGGGGGCGGTTGGCGAAATAGGCTATGACGGGATATTTCACTTGCGATTCCCCAATAGGTCAGCCGCTGGGATATGAGTGACGGTATCCATACTATTAAGAATTAGCAACGTGCATTGATGTCATATTTCAATTCTCCTGTCTAAATTATTTATGATGATGTGCATCAAGGGCAGACACAGGCTCAAAGGTGGTATTAGTATTATCCTTCAGCCGTATAATTCCAAGACATTGTTTCTGGAACGTATAAATCAAAGTTAATGGTGACCTTTTCTCACCTAGTTGTAGAGGATAATTCACCTACAATTCAGACAGGTTCCATTCCAAGAAACAATTCTCTTTCCCTTTTCCAGTTGAAGATGAAAATAAGATACACCTAATCTGCAGATGCTTGCTGTTGGACGCCGGGTTGTCGGCATGTAAAATCCAGTAACTCAGAAAGGCAATAGAGTTGCCCCTTGACAACTCAGTCAACTCAACCAGGGGATGCTGACGAGAGTAGATAGGACCAACATAGCCAGAAAGGAAACTTTAAATAGGACATGAAATAGTTGAGAAAAGATGACTGGAAAGAGAAAAGGGCATGCAGCATTATCCGAAAAGATATGAGGTACAATATGTATATACAATGTTAGCCAATGGTGAGAACAGTTGAGGAGATTGAGGGAAGTGAAGGAAAGGAAGTACGCGATGAAACGAGGTCGCAAAACAGCATAGCCATCCTTAGAAAAGATTCCGTGAAGGGCTGGGAAACCAACACGAATTTAAAAAGCCCTGATGGGTTAAAAGGAGATAGAAGAAAGAGGGAATTCCATAACATCCATTTCGCTTCAAAAAATAACCCTTCACATCAGTCAGTAATGGGAAAAGCACGGACAACGATCCAACCCCAAACAGGCCACCCACTCCCACGTCACTCATCATCCGGCAAAATTTCAATAGTTTGCTTCAAAAGTTCAATCAACTCATCAATGTCCGGTCGATCTGCGGGCTCAACCTGCAAACATCTCCTCACCACCTCCTTCACGGCCTCGCTAATCCCTCCAGAACCACTTCCACCGGCAGCAGCACTACTTGCTCCAGCCGCATCCTCACCAACAGCAACTGCAGCAGTTCCCTTCCCCTTCTGCCCCGATCCCTTCTCATCCGGAAATCTCCAATCCCCACCAAGCACACACATAGTCAAACTGCCCCCCGTCTCCTCACTGCGTGCTTCGAACGGACTCTTTCCCACAAGGCAGGCATATAGCGTGCATCCCAGCGACCAGATATCTACCTTGGTATCGATGATGGAGCCGGTTTTCACATCGAACAGTTCGGGGGCGCGGTAGGGCATTGTGGAGTGTTCAGCTGCGGTGTCTTGGACGGCTAGGGCAAGGGAACGGGAGGTTATGGCGATGGGGCTTGGGGCGAGGGACCCTAGATCCATGACGACGGGTGTTATGCCGTCGTCGTCTATCATTATGTTTCCTGTTGTGGTAGGCCTTGTCGTCAGCGAACTTGTGGGTGTGGCAGTGGCGGTTTGTTGGGACAGTGGAAACCGGAGCGAAATGGCAGTGGAATTACATACCCGGTTTTATATCCCTATGCGCATAAGGACGAATCCCACCCTCCTCCACTCCTTCCTGGCTAACCGTAACCTCCCCATCCATCAGGGGTTGGTGCACCGTATCATCGCTCTCCCGACGACTACCCTGCCTCACCGACCTTCCACGTGACGGGGCAGCTTCAGCATCCGCCGAAGCTGCTTCATTCCGCACCATCTTCGCCTTCTTGACAGCTCCCGCACCACCTCTGATACGATACTGATGCATGGACTTCAGTCCCTTCGCAACACCCAACATCAGTTCCATGAGCTTCTTCTCTGGGAAAATGGTGTGGTTGACCAGGTTCGCGTTGATGGCGTCCTGCAGGTTTCCGCGCTGGTAGTAAGGGAGGAGGATGTAGACAGTCTTGGAGCCTGCGTCGCCCCCATCAGCGCGGAATTTGGAGCCGGATTCTGTGGTAACGCAGTAGTCGATGGAGTGGATGATGTGTCTGTTTGGAGAGAAGAGAGAGTATGCTTCTACTTCTTTGAGGGCATGGGAGACCGATTCTTGGCCGAAGGGGCAGCGGATTTTTTTGAGGGCGAATAGCTCTGCAGTTGCTTTATCTTGGACGAGGTAGACGTAGGAGAAGCCGCCCTGATGGATGGAAGCAGTTGGTATTTGTATTACATATATGACTTTGCTTCTGCCATTTGATAGGCACCATGCGGGAGATAAATATACTACAAGATACGTACCTCTCCTAGTAGCCGGAGTAATTTGAAACTTCTGCTGTTTATTTTGAGCTGCGGAGAGTTAGGAAAGCAGCACATGCAGTCTGTGAAGGTATAGAGGAGGTCGAAAAAGTATTGCGACATGGATGCTATCGGAATAGAAGAAGAGGAAATATAGCTTGGGGTGAGACTGTAATAAGAGGTGAGGTGAGGATGCGCAACGTTTATGGAATGGGCCGACTGATGGAATTGAGGACAAGTGGCAAAGGTATAGGATATCTCAGTAAATCACTCAGTCATCATGCGATGAATGTAAGAATTAACATGTGAATGCGTATGGAATAGGGAGGTAGTTAGAAATGTTTGGTAGTGTAAGAGTGTAGATGTCTGATGTTGTGAAGGTGATGAAGTCGGAGTTTATTTGGGGCTGAGAAAGCGCCTCAAAGGAATACAACGACCTTATTTAAATAATTATTTGAGCGGACAGGGGATGATGATAACAGCCGTTGTGGATGTTGAACTTGAGGGTAGATGCTGACAGCAGCTACATAAATAAATCGTCAGCTCTGTTCATGAGATCTCGTTCCCATACATATATCTTCTCTTGTCCTGGAGTCAAATATCTCGCCGTGTTTACTCCGTCGCACAGCGGTGGTGATAAATACTTTAACTACCTTTAAATATACACTTAAAAAAGTATGAATAACTGTGGATAAAACAAAAGGATAATACGGGAGAAGAATTAATAATTTTATAAAATAGACATTCGACTTTATGTATTTATCTAAATAATATTCCTTTTTGATCTCCATTGTCTCCTTTTGCTTTGCGCTGCGGCCCAGTTTAACAGTAACTAAATATTTAAACAGATAACTAAGTTCTATAAAATATTTCTAGCTAAACCTCCCAAACATCAACGTCACATTAACAACTTCGACTTCAGTTCTCTCCTCTTCGACTCTACCCCAACGCAACACTCGACGGCTCTCTTTTCATCACGGCCGTCTACGTATTGCCGCGCTTCTTTTTTGCAAGTCTTCTAGACATTTACCAGCTCCCTCCAAAATCCACGTGCCTGACATGTTGCTGCGGCTCCTTTGATCCCATCTCCGCTTGTTTACATTTACATACACCACGACTCGACAATGGCATCCCTTGACGACATCCAGGTGGGAGACCTGGTGAACGTGCCAGGCGGGATGTACGGCACAGTTAAGTTCATAGGTGTGGTTGCTGGTAAACCTGGCCGTTTTGCTGGTGTTGAGTTGGCACCCGAGCACGCCGGCAGAGGAAAGAATAACGGCGACGTTGAGGGCCGGAGCTACTTCACCACCTCCCAGCCCGGCTCTGGCATCTTTGTGCCAATAAATAATAATAAATATGTCTCCAAACGGACCACCTCAATGGGCAGCAGGCCACTCACACCCTCCAGACTCAACTTCAGCAAATCAGTCGGGCCCGGTCCTGGTCCCAACCCCATGTCTTTGAACAGACCAAAGTTCAGACGCCCATCTCTACCACGGCCTGAATCGCCACGATCTTCCCCGCCGAAATTAAATATGGCTGCTCTACGAACTCCCTCCACGTTTTCCAAAAGTGTGGGACCCAACGGAGGTGTTCCTCGAACACCGCTCAGAACTACACGACCCCCCAGCCGCCCGTCGTCTAGAATTAGCGTTGAGAGCAATACCAACAACACCCCACAGTCAGTAAGGCGGTATGATACGAGGACGCCCGCCTTTGATGACCAAGAGGCCGCGGAGAGGATTAGATATCTAGAAAAGCAGTTACGTGATCGTGATAAGCAGTTGGAAGAACAGTCTGCAACTCTCGCGGAGTTTCAGAAAAGCATTACGGAGCTGGAGGGTTTGGACGCACTACAGGTGCGCGCACAACTTCGCGAGAAGAATGAGAAAATTACCGCTCTCACGGCTGAGTTCGATAGCCATCGGGCTGATTTCCGCAGCACGTTGGATACGCTAGAGGTTGCTGCGTCGGAGACAGAGAGGGTCTACGAGAGAAGACTAGAAGAGCTTATGCATGCTAATAGGGAACTACAAGAACGTGGCGAGGACGTGGAAACCGTGGCGAGACAGCTTAAGCAGTTAGAGGAACTGGTATCGGAACTCGAGGAAGGTCTTGAAGACGCTCGAAGGGGTGAAGCTGAGGCTAGAGGCGAAGTAGAGTTCCTCAGGGGCGAAGTTGAGAGAACTAGATTGGAATTGAAGCAGGAAAGGGAGAAACCTGCTTCTGCGATCAAAGGCACCAACGCTGATGCACATCCTTCCTCCAAGGATCTGGATCAAAAGGACGATGAAATTCGCGGTCTGAAAGCAATCATCCATTCCCTCAGCAGAGGTGAACCTGTCGGCCTCCATCAGATGAACGGAAGCTCTTCCAACAATGGAGACTACCAGGATGCGGACCGTCTCGCCAGACTCGAGCATCGCATCCAAGAACTTGAGGGTCTCATAGATCGCAAATCCTATCGCATCGAAGAACTAGAGCGTGAGCTCGAAAAGGACCAGAATCGCAAAAGTCATAATCGGAGCGGCACCATAACCTCCTCACCACTCAAACAGCAACATAGCAGTCCCGGTACTGTTTCTGGGTCCGGCGCTGTCAACCACACCCACACCCTTTCCGACCGCACTGTCGTTCCCAATGACTGGCACGACCCATCCGCTCCTCCCAACATAAATAGCAACGGACCAAACCAATACTCCACCCACTTCTCCGCGCCGCAACACCATAACGAGCTCGTCCGCCACCACCCGCAGCAGCTTAGCCCAATGCCTGAATCTGACTCGCATTCCTCAAGCACAGATGACGGAGGGGTTCTCTGGTGCGAGATCTGTGAGACGAGCGGCCATGATATTCTCACCTGCACGAATATGTTTGGGTCCGGCGCCGCTAGCGGGAATAATGCGGGCAGTAACAAGAACGATGGTAACAATATAAATAATAGAGCCATTGCGAATGTAAACACCAACGCTAACACCCACAACAATAATAACGGCAATTACCCTAACGGCATCCATCAGAATAACGGTCTAGGTGCCTCGAACGGATACAGTGACATGAATGCAGGTGGAAGCCCCAACTCGCAACGGACGGGGCGAGACGTGGTGCTGGAGGGATTGAAGGGGCTGACGGCGTCCATGTCGCCGGTTGCGGGGAAGGCGTCTGGCGTTATTGATGAGTCGAAATGGTGCGCTTTGTGCGAGAGGGATGGTCATGAGAGTATTGATTGTCCGTTTGAGGACTAGGTTTTCTTTGCTTCTCACTTTTTGATAGCGCGTTATGACTTTTATATCTTTCTATCAGTTTGCGATCTGCTCTATCGGGGATGAAGTGTAGTACGAACGAACAGATGGAATACGGAGTATGTTGATGATCGTTTGATATTTCATCTGATCTTTTTGCACCTCGCACACTGCTACGCTACCTGCCTTACTGCACTGCGTGGTGTTTTGTTTTGGTTTCAGTTATTTTGCTGGGTTGTGCAATTAGAGGAATGAGGGCGGATTTCCTATCTAGTAATGTTATATTTCAGCCATGTTTTTTGTCTCTCCCCCATTTTCCCTTTCTGGGTTTCATTTTCTTTCTCCCGCCCGTTCGAAATGGTAACTGGTATGTATGCTTGATGTCCCTTTCGGTTAATATTACCTTCAATTTGTACTATCTTGCTATTTCTCACTTTCTGCCGATATTTTCCGTCATATTCGTCTCTCTCCGCCATCCTTTCAAACTCCCTTCCTCCCCCCCTTTTTATTATCCCACTTCATCAACCCGTTGTCTACTTTTTGTATCTCCTCTTAGCATATTTTCTTTTTCTTTTCTTTTCTTTTATTTCATTTTTCTTCTCCATCTTATTCATTTCATTTCTCTCTCGCTATATGTCCTTGAATTTTCCAGCCTGTTCAATATTTTAACTTAGTTTTAATCTGCTCTCGGGACCATTCTTATTCTCTTTGCCTCCTCTATCAAGATCTCTTTTAATTCTCATTTCTTATATGTATATATCCATTGATGCCTGCCTACCGTCTCTCAAGCGTCAGCTTGTCTCCATTCGAAGCAAATATTGTATTTCGTAAAGCCAACCTCAGTTTTTGGTGCACCCCTCTCTGACATTGTGTGGATCCGAGTCTACGCTTTTGGAAATGATCAACTGAAAGCAGAAGATACAATTTACTTCTTATTTTCACAATAGGCGTTCCGCAACCGTTCCACATCATGATCTTTCCAACGGCAATAAATATACAGCAATCGGGGTGGAAGTCCAAATACAAAAACTTGGTATAGAACAAAAAGCCCACCACCTCGTCTCACTCAGTCAGAGACACCAGTACCAACAAACCAGCTGATATGATATGATATATTGATACCCACAATAACAAGCCTGATCCCAACTTCCATCCACATAACCAACTCCATAAAACAACATCTCTTCACTCCGGAAATCTCGGAGGCTGCACCACCTGCCCTTCCGCATGCTTCACTGCCGCCACTTTCCCACACGCACCACACGTCCTCTTCTCCTTGTCCCGCATAAACTCCTCCACAGTCTCTTTAACCTGCGTACCCAAATCCGTACAAAAAAACCTCTTCTCCCACACCACCCCTTTACAACCAGTACAATACCATCTCATTGCATCCTCCGCCATGTCAAGCCGCGGCATCTCCACGACTATCCCCACCGTATCCGCGAAACGCACGGGGCAGTGTGGCGTGTTCGCTGGCAGCAAGAATAGCGAGCCTTCATGGATGGGTATATCTTGGAACGTTGGGGGTGAGGTGCTTGGGTCGACGGTTTTGAGAAGCATGGAGCCGCGGTGTTGGTAGAAGAACTCGGGGGTGGAGTTGATGTGGTAGTCTGTGCGGATGTTGGGCCCGCCAACGACCATTACGGTGTATCCCTTTGTAGCGGGGGTGGAAGGGTGGTAGACACAGTAGTTGTTTACAGGTGGTTGGAGGAGGTGAGCGTTTTCGGAGAGCCTGAGGTTGTTAGTTTGACATACCATTCTGCTTGAGGATTGTATTTTTTTTTTTTTTTTTTTTTT